CCTCCAGGCTCCCTCTCCATAGGCCCCTACAAGGAGTTATGTCCATTTGGGGATTTCCCAGTTGGGGGACAACCGTGCGAAACGTACCTGTTGCGTCCTGACAGTCCTGAACCGCTTGCAAATACCATCTCTGACACAGTAGCCATGATAGCTAGTGACGCTCTGTAAGCGAGAGTCGCATTTTGAAAAGGAACTGGCTTGAATCAGAGAAACGCTTGCAATTTGTTTAAAGGAATGTGCGCGACGTGATGGCGAGAGCCACAGTTTTTTGAAAGCGGCCCGCCCGCATTTTTGTTGCAGTTGTTGCAGATGTTAAAAAGGATTGTGCGCGGCGCTAAGGCGAGAGCCACATTTTGGTAATGAGCCGCCCTCAGCCCGTGAAGCTCTTGCAAAAGTGTGGAAGGAATGTGCGCGGCGCTAAGGCAAGACCCACACGTTGAAAACGAGCCGTCCTCAATCCGTGAATATGTTGCAAGTGCTAAGAACGAATGTGCGCGGCGTTAAAGCGAGAGCCACATGTTGGAAGCGACCCGCCCTGCATCTGTGAAGCTGACGACAGCTTCTAAGCATCAGGTTCATAAGTGGTGAGCAAGTTCCAGGTGGATCGCCTGGTCCGCCCTTTCGACCGGCCTCGGGTTGCGACAGGGAGGAGTTATCTATGAGGAAAAGGGATGGAGGAGGGGCTCGGAGGAGGGGCTCAGTGGAAAGGAGGAGGAGGAGGAGGAAGAGGAGGGGGAGGGAGAGGAGGAGGGAGGAGGAGGAGAGGGAGGAAGACGAGGAGGAGGAAGGAGGAGGAGGAGGAGCCCGACTAGGAGGGACCAGGAGTTAGGAGGAGCAGGAAGACGAGGAGGATGAGGAGGAGGAGAAGGAGGAGGGGGAGGAGGAATAGGAGTTAGGAGGAGGAGGAGGAGAAACTTTGATGATGATGCTTATGATGATGCTTCTGATGACGCTTCTGATGATGACCATGATGATGATGATGATGATGATGATGATGATGATGATGATGATGATGATGATGATGATGATGATGATGATGATGATGATGATGATGCTCATGCTGATGCTGATGCTGATGCTGATGCTGATGATGATGATGATGATGGTGGTGGTGGTGGTGGTGGTGATGATGATGATGATGATGATGATGATGATGATGTTCTGATGCTGGTGATGAAGAGGAGGACGACGAGGGTGAGAATGAGGAGGAGGAGGAGCAGGAGGAGGATGAGGATGATGATGAGGATGAGGAGGAGGGGCAGGAGCAGGAGGAGGAGGAGGAGGAGGAGGAAGAGGATGAGGAGGAGGAGATAGGAGGAGGAGGAGGAGGAGGAGGAGGGAGGAGAGGAGGAGGAGGAGGAGGAAAAAGAGGAGAGAGGAGGAGGAGAAGGAGTTAGGAGGAGGGAGGAGGAAGGCGACGAGGAGCGGGGACAATTTCGGAGGAGGAGAAGGCGGAGGAGGACGAGGCGGATGAGGAGGAGGAGGAGGAGGAGGAGGAAAAAGAGGAGGACGAGGCGGAGGAGGAGGACGAGGCGGAGGAGGAGGAGGAAGGAGGAGGAGGAGGAGGAGGACCAGGAGGAGGAGGAGGAGGAGGAGGAGGATGGCATGCAGTGTGCGCGCCGCCGAAGCGGTACATGCCCCACGCACCCCAGAAGCCGCCGTCCGTCACCGCGCTGCTGGCGGCCGCCGCGGCCGCGCACCGAACGCCGGGGAGGCCACCGCCCTGGCGCCCTCTCGCCGTTCTCTCTCTCTTTCTGTTTATCCGTAAGGGCTTCGCCCCATGCCGCCGGCCCCCTGTCTCGGATAATGGGAGATGCAAGAGCTGAATCATCAGTGTGGGGACCTGTTTGTTTTTCGACCCTGACCCTACGGATCTGCGTCACGGGTGCCACCGAATTTCAGACATGTTGCAAATCCCTTGTGTTTTTGGACCCTGACCCTACGGATCTGCATGAGGAGTGCCGCCGAATTTCAGAAATGTGGCAAATCCTTTGTGTTTTTGGACCCCGACGCCGCCAATCTGCGTGAGGGGTGCCACCGGATTTCAGAAATGTGGCAAGTCCCCTTTTGTTTTTGGACCCTGACCCTGCCGATCTGAATGAGGGGTGCCCCCGGATTTCAGATATGTGGCAAATCCCATGTGTGTTTGGACCCTCACCTAACCGATCTGCGTGAGGGGTGCCACCGAATGTTAGAAATGTAGCCAATCGCTTGTGTTTTTGAACCCTGACCCCGCCGACCTGCGTGAGTGGTGCCACCGAATGTTAGAAATCTTGCAAATCCCCTGTGTGGTTGTGCGTTTGGACCCTGGCCCTGCCGATTTGAATGAGGGGTGCCACCGAATTTCAGAAATGTGGCAAATCCCCTGTGTGTTTGGACCCTGACCTTGCCGATCTGCGTGAGGGGTGCCAGCTGATTTCAGAAGTGTAGCAAATCCCATGTGTTTTTTGACCCTGACCCCGCCGATCGGCATGAGGGGTGCCATCGAATTTCAGAAATGTGGCAAATCCTTTGTGTTTTGGGACCCCGACGCCGCCAATCTGCGTGAGGGGTGCCACCAGATTTCAGAAATGTGGCAAATCCCATGTGTATTTGGACCCTGACCCCGCCGATCTGCGTGAGTGGTGCCACCGAATGTCAGAAATGTTGCGCATCCGGTATGTTTTTGGACCCTGACCCTGCCGACCTGCGTGAGGGGTGCCACCGAATGTAAGAAATGTGGCAAGTCCCCCGTGTTTTTTGACCCAGACCCTGCCGATCTGAATGAGGGGTGCCACCGAATTTTAGAAATGTAGCAAATACCATGTGTTTTTGGACCCTGACCCCGCCGATCTGCGTGAGGGGTGTAATTTTTCACCCACCCCAGCAATTCAGACAACACGCTCAGGGCGTTGTAAAAATGCATGTTTTGGGCCTGCCCCCCTCGCGCGGTCCATCAACAAGGAACAGTAAGCAGCAAGAAGCAGACCTGTAACAGTAGGCAGCAAGAAGCAGAATTGTAACAGAGGAAACTGGAAGCTGCAACTGGCACAGGAAACTGTGAACCTTCGCCCTGCAGCCTGGTGGCCCCACCCCACAAGGGGCCCGGAGGATTTCTTTCTTTCTTTCTTTCTTTCGTTCTTTCTTTTTTTCTTTATTTCTTTCTTTCTTTCTCTCTCTCTCTCTCTCTCTCCACCCACCCTTCTTATTTCTTTCTGTGCTGGCATCCGCATGTATTCCTGTTCGCTGCCCCCGTGCCCTTGTGCATGTGCACCCGAGTTGGAGCGAGCCCTGTGAACAGACCGTGCTCACAATGCAGAGCCCGACGGTGTTTCTTTCTCAGCCATGCACGTTTCGAGTTGGAGACCTCCGACGGCTGTGAGGAAAGACCCATCGTGATTGAAGTTCGCAATGGGGATTCTCTCTCTGTTTCTATATGCGCCCTGCCAAAAAAAAACAAAACAAAATCAAAAAAAACCTTCGATTGCAAAAACAAATCCTTCGCGGGCGGCCTGCGTGCATCGTGCCGTCTCCCCCCCCCCTTGTGACTGGGGGGGCCGCGAGGGCGGGCCTCTGAGCCGCGCGCCAGCACGGCGAACGACCACTTTCCCGAGCGAGGGTCGTCCAGGGATTGAAATTCGGAGAAACGGTCCGACACGGTCGAGACGCCCGCCCCATCGGCCTCCATAATTCTAGTAACAAGATCGTTGTTGGTGTCGCCAATGCTGGGTTGCCCGAGGTGGTCAAAAGAATCGGTGCCCCCGTGCAGCGCGACTTTATCAGAGGCCGCAACTTGTAGACGAATGTCTACGAACCCGACGCCCATGTGAGGCTGATCAGTGCTCGCGAGGCCCCCGAAGGCGCCATCTTAGCATTCGACTTCACGCAAGCGTTCCCTTATGTCAGTCATCTGTGGCTCATGCTTGCGTTGCAGCATATCAGGATTCCTCGCGGCTGCCTTCTCGCGGTTCAGGGTTTCTATCACCTACTTCCTTGCCCCCTCTCCGTTCGAGGCATCCATCTCCACCACTTCTTCGAGATCTCGGGAGTGCTGCAAGGATGCCCGCTCAGCGGAAGCCTTTCCGTCATTGCGATAGATAGCTTCCTCTGGAATATGTTCCGCAGCGTTCGATCGCCTTGTCACGGACAGATCCGAACGTGCACCGATGACATCGGAGCGGCCCTCGCACCGCGCAAAGGCCATCGCGAGATCCCTCGTGCCTTCCGAGGTGCCAAGCTCCTCGCGGGTCTAAAGCCAACGGCCTCGACGTGCCGCGTTGTCCCTATACGCGCTGCTCTCTCCGACAATCTCGAACAGGAGGTCCGCGCTCTCCTACGTGACTGGTATCGCGCCCGCCCTGGTGCCACGCGCCCGCCTGGTTCCGCTGCTGGGGGATGCTCGACGTCGCGGCGGGGGTGTTGCACTTGGGCGTCTGGCTGGGTCCCGGGGTCGAGGCGCTCCGCAATGTTCGAGCTCCCCTCGACGAGATGGCCGTCTGGGCCAGAACCGTCGCGGACGCTAGGCATGCTCTTTTGACGGGGTTCCAGCTGTTTCCCTTCACGTGCACAATCAGTGGTATCTGTTCTTATCGATATCGTTTGACGTCCGCAGCTCATTTGTGTCAAAGGAGCGTTGCATGGTAGCGGAGCGTCGGTCCAACCGGCGCTCGCGCGCACCAGCCCGGCCGCGCTCCCGCGCGGCCCGCCCTGCACACTCCAGCCACGGCGTCGAGCAGCGATAGCGGGGCTGCGGGTGGCGTGTGGCTGTGGGTGCCAGACGAGGAGGCACCGGTCAAGCAGACCGACAGCAGGGTGCAGCGCAGGTGGCGCCACGTGGTGGCGAAGGTGCTGAAGCAGAAGTACCTGAAGGGTTTCTGGTCGGTGCTCGGTGAGTACCTCAAGTACGTCAAGGCCAGGCAGCTGCGATGAACGATCAAGAGAGGCAGGCCCTGGCTAGCCTGCAGTCGGCCGTGGAGGCGCTGAGACTCCAGAATGCACAGTTGTCACAGCAAGCCGAGCAGATGCAGCAGCAGAATGTTCAGATCAGGACGGAGCTCGCTCGGCAGGTCCAGGCGCAGGGAGATCTACCACGGCTGGCCGAGCAGCTCGGCGATGCGGTGCAGAAGCTGTCGGATGAACGAAAGGATAAGTCGTCTGCGCCGGCCTTTTCCCTTGTGGACACCAAGGGGTTAGGCAAGCCCTCCATCTTCAAGAATGAGGAAGCAAAGTTCCTGGAGTGGTACCGCAAGACCAATGCGTACCTGACGGCAGTCTTCGGAGAGCAGTTCCGCAAGCTGCTGGAGTGGGTGGAGGATCAGGCGCAGGAGACCACGGTGATTAGCATGGAGGTTCTGGAGGCAAGGTTCGGCAGCGACGACGATGATGAAGATGAATTCATTCCAGACCTCCGCGAGAAGGTCAGCCAGCTGTACGTCGCACTCCAGACGCTGACAGAAGGTGAGAGCTTTGCCCTGGTGATGAACACTCCCAAGGGTAACGGCGCCGAGGCGATGAGGAAGCTCATCAGGCGCTGGGGCCCGGCTTCGGGAGGCAAGCGCCGCGTGCTCTTGAAGCAGATCATGAACCCGCAGCGGTGCACCCTCAGCGACCTGTACGCCAAGCTCGAGGAGTGGGAGGAGCTCATCCGCCGGTACGAGAGGAAGAAGGCAGACGGCCAGGGCAAGGTGGTCGACGATGACGTGAAGGTTGCAGCCCTGGAGACGATGGTGCCGGAAGAGCTCGAACTCCACCTCGCGATGAACAAGCATCGGTTAGACACGTCGGAGAAGGTCGTAGAGGAGATCAGGAGCTTCCTGGAGTCGAGACAGTCGCAAGGTGCCCTACTCCGACGAAAGCGAGGTGATCCAATGGACGTTGACTCGCTGTACAAAGGAGGCAAGGGCAAGTCCAAAGGCAAGGGTGACAAGAACGGCAAGAAGGGCCAGACCACCAAGCCGCGTGACAAGCGGACGGCGCAGTGCTGGCGCTGCGGTGGCTGGGGCCACACGTCGAATGAGTGCACAGCCCGCCTGACTGGCGGGAAGACCGGCGATGGCAAGGGCAGCAAAGGCAAAGGCAAGGGCAAGGATTTAGACAAGGACAAAGGCAAGGGCAAGAATCGCCGCTGGGACACCAACTCCTTCGAGCCCGGTGCCGCGTCAAGCTCGAGCCAGCCGGTCTACGGAGACAACTGGGACGACGGCAACAACAGCACGATCACCAGCCTACCACCCTCAGCGAGCCAGGTGGGTTCCACGAACCTTGGCTCCTTCGAGCTGTGCACGTTCGAGCTCAACAGCTTCGACGAGACCGTCGACGACCAGGAGTGGGTCAGGTTCACGTTCGACTCGGGCGCGGCCGTGACCACCTTCCCTGAGAACACCAAGGGCGAGCGGCTCCCGGCCGATCCGAATGCGAGCTATCGGACGGCCAGCGGTGAGATCATAGCAGACTCGGGCGGGGTATGCATCCAAGGGCGATCCGAGTGGAGCGAGCCGATCAGACTGAAGGCGCGCTTGGCCAGCATCCACAAGCCGCTGGTCTCGGCCTCGCAGACTCACCGCACGGGCCGGGCCACCTGGCTGACGAAGGAGGGTGGCTACATCCTCCCGGCCGGCTCGGACATCGTGAACCGCGTCGACGCTCTCATCCGAGATGCTGTGTGGAGTGAGTCGGGCGTGGTGCCGCTGTACGTTGAGAAGGGCATCTACGCAGGCTATATCAAGAAGAACGAGGGAGGCCACGTCAGGAGAGTCTCGTTCGGCGACCACCGCGAGAGCTGGGACTTGTGCCCGGTCGAAGGCGGGTCGCCAGTCCCTCCCCGGCAGGCCTGGCCGTAAGGCCGGGAGGAGGCGGCGCTGTTGCTGGGAGCCCGGGCCCAGCGCCACTCACCGACTTAGACGTGGGCCAGGAGGAGGAGCAGCAGGCGCCGGAGGTGGCACTCGCTCGAGTCGCGCGCCGTGGCAGGGCGCCGACGCAGGCAGAGCGGGAGCAGCACTTGGCATCTGGACACGCGGTCTACCGCTCGTGGTGCGAGGAGTGCGTGCGGGCAGCCGGCCTGGGCGCCCAGCACGCCAGGCGACCTGAGGATCGTGATGACGCCGACCCGGTCGTCAGCATGGACTTCGCCTTCATCGGGGAGAAGGTCCAGGACGTGGAGGACGACGGCTCTATCCCCATCTTAGTGGTGACGGACCGCAAGTACGGCGTGAAGGGGGCGACCGCCGTCAAGGACAAGACCGCGTCCGACTTCGTGGTCAAGTGGCTCGTGGGCTTCTTGAAGCACCTCGGGCACCGCCGTGTTGTGCTCAAGTCCGACGGCGAGGCGAGCATCTGTGCGATCAAGAATGCAGTGATGGTTGGTGTGGGCCAGCATGTCGAGTGCATCCCGCAGGAGTCGCCCAAGGGCGAGCACAAGAGCAACGGCGAGGTCGAAGCCAGCGTGAAGGAGGTGAAGAAGGTCATCCGAGCGAACTTCTTTTCCATGCAGAAGTCCTTCGGCTTCGAGGTCTCGCCCGGGCATCCCATCGTCAGGTGGCTGCCCCAGTTTGCCGCGGACTCCATCTCCAAGTTCAGGCTCGGCGTTGACGGCATGTCGGCCGAGCAGCGGAGGTGTGGCCGCCCTTGGAGGAAGTTCGCGGCGGAGTTCGGCGAGAGGGTGCACTATCGACCTCTCGGAGTCGGAGACGAGAGGAGCACGCTGGCCCCCAAGATGCTCATGGGGCACTTCGTGGGCTACCACTCGCGGACAGGCGCGCTGCTCGTCATGACGCAGTCGGGTGTGGTGCAGGCCCAGGGCTTCAAGCGCCTACATCGAGCCCAGGCATGGTCGCCGGAGACACCAGGGTCATGGGGCAAGCTTGCTGGACTGCCGTGGGAGGTTTCCCCCGCGGTGTTGCTCGCGCAGCCCGTGGGCCCGATCATCGTGACCAGAGACACGCAGGAGGACCACGACACCGTGGTCAGGAGGCGCTACGTACTCAAGAGGGACATCGAACGCTTCGGAGCTAATCCGGGGTGTCCAGGCTGCGCGGACCTCATGGCAAGGGGGTCGGCGCGGGTCGCGCACTCCCAAGAGTGCCGCGACCGCATCGAGGCCGAGCTGATGAAGGACTCGGCAGGCCAGCGGAGACTGGCGGAGCACCACCTGAGGGCGAGTGCTCGCGAGGCTCAGGCGGAGGAGAGCGCGGCGCAGCCGGCGCCCCAGCCTGGAGCAGCCGCAGCCAGCGGCGGAGGAGCCGCCGCGGCCAGCGGCGGAGGAGGCGCCGCGGCAAGGCCCGGCGCGGACGTGGCCATGGCAGGACCACGTGCGGGCGCCCCGGCGACGTCACCAGCAGCATCGAGGAAGCGTGCTGCGAGCGTGTCCGCCGAGGAGCGCCGCCCGCCGCAGTTGCGAGACGGGCCAAGGGGGCTCAAGAGAGCCGGGAGCGAGCCGGACCTCCACGGGCAGATGATCGTGGACGGAGGCTCGAGCTCGTCGGCTGGACCGGCGAGCGCGGCAGTGTCCGCTGGGCTGGTGCAGCCCGTGCCTAGCCCAGAGGGGGCTAGAGGAGGTGGCGACATGGAGGACTTGGCAGGGCCAGCTGCACGGGCTGGCAGCTCCATGGACGTCGGCGCCTTTGACGAGGTCAAGGGCAAGATCTACAGGGAGATCCTGGCGCTGGTGAGCGCCACGGACCTGATCGGCGACAACGTCATGTCGATCAAGGAGCTGAAGGAGGTGTCCGCGCTGTTGACCGAGATCAACGGGGTCGACCTCGCAGAGGTCTACTCGCCCGAGCGCTTCAAGGGGAAGGCGCTCGGCATGGGCCTGACAGCAGGCCTCGCGGCGGACCTCTACACCGGCTGGGACTTGCTTCGCGAGGACCACCGCCGAGCAGTCATGAAGAAGCTGCTGGAGGAGGACCCTCTCCTCACCGTGACCTCTCCGCCGTGCACGGTCTTCTCCAAGCTCAGGCAGCTCAGCAACTTCAAGCGGGACGAGGGCATCGTGGCTTCCGAGGTCCTCGAGGGAGAGACACACCTGGAGTTCTCCATGAAGGTGTGCGAGAGCAGGCATCAGCGAGGAGCACTTTTCCTGCATGAGCACCCCTGGGGAGCATCCTCCTGGTCGCGGCCGTGCGTCCAGAGGGTCAAGGAGTTGCCGGGCGTGTACTGGGTGCGCGGCCCGATGTGCCGCTGGGGCCTCCACGCTCGGGGGCCCGATGGGCGCGAGGCATTCGTGCGCAAGGAGACAGGCTGGCTGACGAACTCGCAGGTCTTGGCCGACATCCTTGCTGGGGAGTGCCGCTGCCAGTCCATCGGCGGCGAACCCTACCGGCACGTGCACTTGCTCGGTGACAGGAGGGCTCGAAAGGCGCAGGTGTACCCACCCCGCCTGGTCAGAGCCATCCTTCGCGGCCTCAGGGAGGAACTTCGAGCTCGAGAATCGCTGTCCGACCTGGCGGGCTTCACCGCCGGGCCCTCGCCTCACGCCGAGGATATGGACCAGGAGGCGGAGGCGTTCGTGGACGACGTCCGCGGGGGCTTCCTCGACCCGCTGAAGGTGAAGGAGGCCAGGGCTGAGGAGCTGGAGTGGTGCCGCAGCCGCGGAGTGTGGAAGAAGGTTCCACGCCGCGAGATGGAGGCGGAAGGAGGTCGTGCCATCGACACGCGGTGGATTGACACCAACAAGGGGGACCTCGAGCGACCGCTGTACCGCTCGAGGCTCGTTGCACGGGAGATGAAGGTTCGCCGGCGCGCCGAGGGGCTGCTGCCGCCGCAGCAGGACCTCTTCTCAGGGACGCCACCGCTGGAGGCGTTCAAGGCGCTGGTCAGCCTGTTCCTCAGCAGGGCGTTCGAGCAGTTCCAGAGCTCGGAGCCCCGCGAGGTGCTGTACAAGTTCTACGACGTGTCGCGTGCCCATTTCTACGGGCACGTGCAGAGGCGCCTCTGGGTGGAGCTTCCGCCCGAGGAGCGCCAGGGCGAGGAGGAGCCACTCGTCGGACTTCTCCTTCGCACGATGTACGGCACGATGGCTGCGAGCCAGGTCTGGCAGGGTGACTACGTCGAGCTGCTCAAGTCCGTCGAGTTTCTGCAGGGGAAGTCGAGCCCCGCCATCCTGTGGCACCCAGGGCGTGACATCGCCCTCGAGGTGCATGGCGACGACTTCGGCGTGCTGATGTATGCAGACGACGAGGCCTGGTTCGACGAGCTGTTGAAGAAGTACGACTACAAGGTCACGGGCCGCCTCTCCTCGGCGGCCGAAGGGGTCCAGAGCTCGGTCTACCTGAACCGCGTGCTCATCTGGGATCCCGCCGCAGTTGAAGCACGCATCGAGTCTGACGTCCGTCACGTTGCCATGATCCTTCGAGACCTGCACCTGCGCGACGCCAAGCCGGTGCAGACGCCTGCGGTCAAGAAGAGTGTGACCGAGATGATAGAAGCCTCGCAGTCCCAGACGCTCGATGACGCACAGTCCAAGCTCTACCGCTCGCTGGTCATGCGCGCGAGCTACATCGGGCAGGACAGGCCGGACCTCAGCTACATAGCGTCTTCTCTGGCCAAGTCGATGAAGACGCCACGAGAGTCGGACATGATGGACCTGAAGCGCCTGGGGCGATACCTCAAGCAGGCCAGGGCCGGCTCGCTGGTATTCAAGCTGCAGGAGGTCCCCACGCGCATCGAGATCTTCGTAGACGCTGACTGGGCTGGCGAGGCTACCACCAGGAAATCACGCAGTGGCATGATGCTCATGCTCGGCTCCCATCTTGTGAAGCACGCTTCCACTCAGCAGACCACGGTGGCGCTGTCTTCGGGGGAGTCCGAGTACTATGCGATGCTGAAGGGTGCGAGCCACGCTCTGGGGCTCCAGTCGATGCTCCAAGACTTCGGCGTGCAGCATCTAGAGATGCCACTACTGCGCAGCGGCAGCGTGGCAGCCGAGGGCATCGCCACGCGTCAGGGCCTTGGCGCTGTCTGCCACATCGACACGAGATTCTTGTGGCTCCAGGACCAGGTCAAGGCAGGCAAAGTAGAGATCAAGCATGTGCCGGGACTCCAGAACCCGGCTGATGCATTCACGAAGGCGCTGGATCAGACACATCTGAGACGGCATTTTGAGGCTATGGGCTTTAAGGTGCGCGACGAGGGCAGCCGGCTCCATCGCACTCTCTAGGGCGTGTGTGTGGCGCCAGGCAGATGCATGAGTTTTCTTTTCTTTCCTTTTCTTTTCCACGGACCTAGATGTCCCGCACTGAGGCGGGAGTTGCGGACGATGTGCATTGAGAGTGGTCGGCCGTGCACGGACCTGGCGGGCGAGAGGCCTGCAGGCACGCGCGGCCTTGGCGCCGCGGGAGTGGGGCTTTGGCCCGCTGTCCGCTGCGTCCGAGAGGGGGTGTTTCCCTTCACGTGCACATTCAGTGGTATCTGTTCTTATCGATATCGTTTGACGTCCGCAGCTCATTTGTGTCAAAGGAGCGTTGCACCAGCTCTTCTCGCGGCGGGCTCTCGGCGCGCCCCCGCATGTCTCGCAGATCGCCCCCCCCCCCCCCGAGTGTTGTCGAAACCGAACGGCAGTGTTTGGCCCATATTTTCAAGTGGCTTATGTCTGCCATGAGGTGTTCAGACTGGTTGAACCTCGGCGAGTAGCATGGCCCGAACGTGCGATCGCTGTACATCGCCGCCGCTGCTGCCGCCATGCGCGCCGCTCTCGTCATTCTCCCGCATTGGCCTGCCACCCCCCGCATGCTGCGTGAGGGCCTCATCGACCACTGCCCGATGGCCCTTTGGGTTTCCCCATATCCTCGCTCCGTCTATCTGGTGGTCCCCTCCCATTGTGCTGCAAATTGAAGCTGCTGGAGCGGGCTTCCCTGAGGACCGACGGTCTCGCGTTGGCGGGGGGAGGGCGTTGGGGCGGTTCTTGGAAGCGTCGTCGGTCTCTCGAGCGAAGTGGCAGCGCATCTTTTCCGCAGAATTGCAAGCATCGGTCTTTGCGCTCCCGTCGGAAGAGCTACTGGTGCGCCGCCTGCGCAAGTTGTTCCTTCCGTCTCTAGAGTGGGGAGGTGGACTGCGACTTGATGCGCTCGCAGCTGATGGATCCTCCTCCTTCACGGCCGCCTATATTGTTTCGGGCCTGGCTCGGGGCCTGGATCACAGGAGCACGTGTGCAGCGTCTGCGTCACTGCATTTTCGGATGTGAGGAGGTAGGAACGACGACGCACTACGGTTGCCAATGCCGTCGTCTCCATGATCACGTCGCCTCTGTTCTACACGCTGGCCTTCCCTCTTCCATCGCTGCCCGCCTCGGGCTCCAAGGAGATTTCGTCTTTGTCATCGGTCTCTATCATGGTGTTCGCCTCGCCGCGGCCCGAGCTGGGAGATCAGGTCGGCCGTAACCCTTGCTGAGGCCGCGGCTTTGCAGGCCCCCGCGCGAGTCGCGCTCCGACTCCCCCACCGCAGCCGCCAGCCCAAATTCCTCGACGCTGCGATGCTGCGGGGGCGTGTCGCGGAGCTCCGCGAGGCCAAAGACAGACGGACCCCCAGGGAACGCTTTGCCTCCTCCTCCTCCTCCTCCGCCTCCTCCTCCTGTTCCTCCTCTTCCTCCTCCTCCTCCCGCTCCTCCCTCCTACCTCCCTCCTCCTCCCCCCGTCCTCCCTCCCTCCTCCCGTCCTCATCCCTCCCTCTTCCTCTTTCCCTCCCTCCTCCTCCTCGATGGAAAACAGGGGGTGGCGCGGAGGCGGCACGCAACTTCCTGCGGATCCACCTTCACTGCCCCATGTCGCGGGCAAACTCTCCCACGAAGAAGCAGACGGCCGACGCGCGTAAGGTCCCTGCCTCAATTCACAGACGCAGTTCTGGCCAATCCCGCCCCCGTGCATGGGTTCTGGGCGCGAGTCATCTTGGACACTTCTTTGGGTCTCACGGGGGCCTCTTGGAGGCCGCTTGGAGGCATCCCCAGGCCTCTTGGTCGCCTCTGGGGGCCATCTTGGCGGTCTAGGGGGGCCATCTTGGCACAAGAGAGCACGCGGTGCCTGTTCGGGTTCCCCCCTCTTCCCCTGGAGCCGGGAACATACATCAAGACCAAATTGGTTTCCATGCTTCAGGGCCTGGGGACAAGTCGCGCACTCTCGGGAACGCCCAAAAACATCCCTAATCCCCCCCCCTCCTTGCGCCCCTCCTCCTCCTCTTCCTCCTCTTCCTCTTCCTCCTCCTCCTCCTCCTCCTCCTCCTCCTCCTCCTCCTCCTCCTCCTCCTCCTCCCCTTCCTCCTCCTCCTCCTCCTCCTCCCCGTCCTCCTCCTCCTCCTCGTCCTCCTCCTCTTCCTCGTCCTCCTCCTTCTCCGTCTCCTCCGTCTCCTCCTCCTCCTCCTCCTCCTCCTCCTCCTCCTCCTCCTCCGCCTCCTCTCCCACACCGTAGCCATTTTCGCTCAAGCTATTTTTGCCGAAGGCTCTCGGATTGGGACACCAGCGCGGCCGGTCCGCTGGTCCGCTTCCGCGATGGCCGCCTGGGTCGCCTCCGCGGCTCCAGAGGGCTGGCAGCTGGGCCGGTGGTCGAAGATCTCAGAGAGCAACTGGGTGGAGCAGAAGACAGGCCAGCCTGCTTTGCCGCCAGCCATGTTCGAGGCCCTCACCGGAGGTCCCGTCTGCCCCGGGTCCACGACCGTGCGCCTGCGAATGATCGATTGTCCCGAGGATGACCAGATCGAGGCCCTCATCCTGGACACCAGTTTGCAGGTCTTTCGTGGCGGCCAGTACGTCGGCGAGTACATGGGAGGCTACGAGAGCGCCGTGGAACCCATGGGCGAGGCACCTCTCCAGCAGTCCTCCTTCAACTCCAGCGCGCCGGCTGAAGTCACGATGCAGGTGCAGACAATCCAGGCGTCGCCCGTGCAGACGCTCAGGCCGGCGCGCAGCGCAGGGGCCACGCAGAAGGCCGGGTTCGACAGGTCGCCAGCCAAGGTGTGTGCGCTCCACAGCGCGTGCAGCGGTGGCGATGCCGCCGCGGTGACGCGGGCAAGATGTATAAGTATCCATCTCCACTGCGTCGTGGATTTTCTGGACAAGGGCGCCAAAATGCCGAGGCGCAGTGGACATGGATAAACATCTAGCCTCTAGGGGCCAGATGTTCATACTTCTCCACTGCGCCTCTGGTTTCTGGGGGAGGGAGCCCGAAGCGCAAACTCGGATTGGATCTGGATACAAGTCTTGGCCGCAGGTGAAGGCCCTGCTCGACCAGAGGGTGGACCCAGACGCGCCGGGCGAGAAGGGCAAGACCGCGCTGCTGGTGGCGGCCACCGCAGGCAGCCTGCCGGTGGCGGAGCTGCTGCTCGCCGCCGGCGCAGACCCGAACGTCGGCTCGGAGGACGGCCAGACCCCGCTCGTCGAGGCTTTCCGGCGGGGGCACAAGGCTCAGGGGCAACGCGAGGTGGGGATAGGCTCAAGCAGGGACGCATCGACCCCTGATCGCCCATTCGTCGCCGATGGGAGCCCGATCGGCCCAACCCGCCCATGACCGTGCGGATATGCTATCGGCGGCCCATCGCCGCTCTATCGGCGACGTATCGCCGATTCCAGGTCGATGTTTCCCCTGCTGCGCCAGCCACCCCGTAGCGTTCCCCCTCCAAGGCGGTGATGAGCAAGCTGTTCAGCTCCACGCTAGGCAGCCTGAGGGGGGCGCCGCGGGATCTCGGAGCAGGCGGCACGGCGGAAGCTGACGACGCCGTGCCCGCGAATGCTCACCACTCCCTCATGGGGGTCACGATGAAGCTCAGCAGGCTCGGTCCGACCACCCAGGATCGCTTCTACTCGCCCGCTCGCAGAGACACGACCGACTTGACACGGACACTAGCTCTGGATCCAGCCACGCTACGCGAGCAGCAGCTGAAGAACAAGATGTGCTTGCTCGCAGAGAACAGCCCCAGCCCCAGCCGCCGCCCCAGCAAGAGCCCCAGCCGCGCGCACTGACCGCGGGCCATCGTGCCGCTTTGGGCAGGAGAGATCTGGAACTCCCCCCTTCTCCCTCTCTCCCTCCTGCCCTCCTGCATCCCCTCCCCCTCCTCCCTCCTCCCTCCCTCCCCGAAAGTCAATCGAATCCCGATCCAAGCACAAGTGGGTCGCGATCCACTTGGCTTTCGGGGCTTTCACCCTACCGAATAAGTGGATCGCGATTCAGTTGTTCGGGGGTTGGCTTTTGCCTTGAAGTGGTCTGGGCCAAGAACCGATTACTTCTCTCCTCAGTTTGTTTCTTGTTGTGTATATCATTATGTTCGTTGCCTCCTGTCTTCTCCCGAGCCCAATAGAATTGCGTCGCGTTTCAGTAATTCTGGGCCAGACTCTCGCCTTGGAATGGTCCTGGCCCAGGCCAAGACCCTATTCCTCTTTCTTTCTTTCTGTGTTTTGTTTCTCTCTCTCTCTCTCTCCCTCTCACTCTTTCTCTCTGTCGCTCTTTTCTTATTTTCCTTATTCCATTCGCCGTCTCCTGTATGGCCCCCCGAGCCAGAGAACATCAGATCGCGATCCAATAGATCTGGGCTGGTCTCTCATTCTAGGCTGCTCCAGACCAAGCCTCGGAGTCTCTTCCTCTTTCTCCTCTCTGTTTCTGTTGTCTCTCTCATTATCTCTCTCTCTCTCACATTCTCTATTTTGCCCTATCCCCTAGCCCGTGCCCTGTCCCCTCTTATCTCCCGAACCCAAGGTGAGAAACTGGATCGCAATTCAGTATTAATTTGGGCTGTTCAGCGTCCGCTGCCTTCCACTTCGTCCCTACTGTCTCCTTCGTGCTCGTACTTTTCTTGTTCAACGCACATTCTTGGCCCTCCCCCAGGCTTTCCTCATTCTTTTGCCCGGCACGATGCTCGTCAATTAACAGTTCCAACTGTTCGTTATTCATCTAGATGTAGGCTTGGTGCAGCGCGACAAATCACATGTTCGCTGCCATCGCGATGGCATCGACTTTCTCACCGTACTCGAGAAAGCCTTCGCAACCGCTGCGACGTCGTCTCACATGGTTGAACGTGCCGAAGCATGGTTCCAGTATCTTTTTTGTTAGCCTGTGCGTGCGGTTTCACATCGACTACCAGGCGCGTGTATGGGCGTGGCCTCGAAAGATTCCTCCCCCTCTTTCCATCCACGCGGATCGCATTCAAGCTCTCTCGTTGGCCCAGTCACTTGTAAGGATGCTCCTCAAGGATGAGTCCAGTTGTTGGCCGATGGCCTGCTCGGCCCTCGCGAAGCAGTGAAGTAGTCTCGCCCGCCTGACTCCTTTTGGTGCCGCACCAGGCGCCCCCCCGAGACTTGCGTACCCAGCGCACCTGGCACATCCGGCGCACCCTCAGGCTCTGTATCTTTTGTAACTTCCCCGTCCTCACATGTTTCGTTTTCCTCCCTTCCCTCTTCTCCATCCCCTCGACGCTCTCTTCTTCCTTCTGCATGGTCCTGGATCTGCAATTCACCGATTACGACTTCGACCCCAGCGCAAGACGCCAATGCTCAGAAATAGGACAAGGAAGAGAGGAGGATGTGGTCACAAGTAAGTTTTGCAGCTATACCTGACGGCCCACCAGCTCATCCACTCACTCAAGAGCCGCGCCTGGACGGCGTAACGACAAAAGAAACACTACATGCACATGTCTGGGAACGGCTACTGTGCCTCGGAGCTCGACCACTGGCAACCTTTGTGCAAATGGCGCGCGAGGGTGATCAGCAGCACTCGAGTGCAGGAGGGGACGAGCAGGAGGGAAGGAGGAGGGCGGGGAGAGGCGAGAGGGGGGAACACACTAAAGAGATACAATATTCATTGACAGCTGCGTCCCAGTTACTTTGAGGGGATTGTAACAAGACTTGCAATCCATTGCAAACGCGGCCTCCCCCGATTTTTCTGAGAGTGCCAGTCTCGCGGCATCAAAGAATTCTGGCCTGACTGGAAAATCACCACTCTCGCAAGCGATTGCGGGGAAGCTCTGGCTAATGTCCCATCGTACTTCATTTGTCGCTCTGAAAGAAGAGATGATAATGGCTTGACGTGCGCTGCGGACCGCATACGCACGGTTCTGATTCGGGACAGGAGGGCTGGCTGGATTTCCCAGTTTTTGAAAAGTCATTTGGCTCGAAATCCGTCCAGTCTGTCTTGGTTGGCTTTCAGCAGCAGGCAAGACTCCAATCCATACAACAATATGGAGAAGACACGTGCCTGTAGAACTAGTAGCTTGTGCTGCTTGGTCATGTGCGTGTTGTTCCATATAGCGCAAAGTTTATCAAATGCCCCTTTCGCATCTCCGAGACGCCGCGTTACTTCAGCTGTTGGCTTCCCGTCTGCGCTCAAAAGCCAACCAAGATACACGACGCTATCTTTAGTTTGAATTGCTTCTCCGTTAAACCCCACGGCTGTGTCATCCGATCTGGTTATCAATAAAACGTCTTGTCTGCGTTGAGATCCAATCCGAATGATTTCCCCACATGTGAGATTATGCGGGAATGCCTTTGAAGTGAGTCCCGGCATTGCGAGACCAGCAGCGTGTCATCAGCGTACACAGCACGTCCTTGGTGATCACGTAGGGCTTGTCCTTTGCGTGGACAGGTTGCGTGGAGACCTTTTTGTCGACAGCCTCGATAGGCACAGACATTACGATTACAAACAAATAGTGCGATAGCGGGCACCCCTGCGCAATACCAGCTTGGTGGATCATCTGAGATAAATTGGTCGCCCCGTCTTTGAAGCTGAATGTGCGCACCTTGTAGATGGCAGCAATCATGCGTAGCATATCGGGCGGCACCTTGAAATACCGAAATGCGAACAATAATCCGTTGGGCTTTATGCAACCATATGTGCTGCTCTCATACAGCAAAGGCAACAATACACATGCGCCATGTTTGTCCTCCAGGGCTGCGTCGATTAATCTCCGCACCAGGAACAACGCGTCGATTCATTTCCGCGCCAGGATCGACGTGATGTTGCATGTCATAACAAGCAGTGCATTTCAGGGCCCAGCGTAGCGTTGCATTGCATCGCTGAGCACAGCAACGCACAGTCCAGCCTGATGTAGCATAGCACCACGTCGCACACTGCGGCCTGGAGGCAATCTACTTGGCAGAATTCGGGGCCTCCGGGGCCGTCCTGGCCCCTCCCCCTTCCCTTCTCCCGCTCTCCTGCGCACCGCTACGGCAGCGATCCCTCCCAGGGCCGCGCCCCCCGCGGCCGCGCGAGCTCCCCGTGCGGGCTCGGCCCTGAGCCCTCGGACGCCTCCGATGGGTAGCTTCCAGAGAGGGGGCGGAGGGATGCGCGCAGCCGAAGGGATGCGGGGAGCCATAGGTACTCTCATCTATTTGCAGGAGGAGGAGGGAAGGAGGAGGAGGAGGAGGAGGAGGAGGAGGAGGAGGAGGAGGACGAGGTGGAGGAGGAGGAGGAGGTGGAGGAGGAGGGAGCAGGATCAGGAGGAGGAGGAGGAGGAGGAGGAGGAGGAGGAGGTGATGGAGGTGGTGGAGGTGGAGGTGGATAAAAGAGGGGGTGAGGTCTGTGGCCCTCTACACCGCTCGCGCTCCGTGCTCCGGGCCCTGGAATCCAGGACCACTTCTTCAGCCTGAACCGTTTCCTGACTGTCCCAGGGTCAGTGGAGGACCCCGGGCGTTTGAAAACGGGGGTAAATTTCTGGATCCGTTTCCCTCGCGACCCGTGCGCTTCACGGCGAGTTTTTTGTTTCGATCCTTGAGAACAGGAAGCGCACCACCAGGAACCGCGGGGATTCAGGGCGAGCTGGTGTGCGGGATGCGGGTGTGCATGGTGTCCCGCGAGAGCACCCGGAACGATCTACACCACCACCACCACCCCTGACCACCCTCTGTCTCCATCCTCCACGTGGTGGTGGTGGTGGTGAGTTTCCTTCTCCTCGGATCCCCCCCCCGCCAGCGCCGGCAGCGCCTCGCCCGCCGCCGGCTCCCCTGCGGGCTCCCCTGCCAGCGGCGGCAGCTCGGGCAGCCCCCGCCAGCCTCCTGGCGGCAGCCCCCTGCGCGCCTCGGCTGAGGCTGGCGGACGCCGCGCGAGGGAGGGATCGGGCGTTGGCGTGGCGGGGGGCGATGAGTGAGGGGGAGGAAGAGAGGTGCACTTCTTGTGCCCCAAATCCCAAGAGGAAAGGGTACCCTTACCGCACCCCTTCCCTACGTTTCCTTCTTTTGGCCCTCCTGGGAGGCTCTCGTCGCCACCGCTGGATTCGCTTCGTAATTCTGGTCAGAAGGCACCCTGGGAGAGATCTGGGGAGTAGCGGTATCGGTGCCTTTGGTGTCCCCGCTTCAGGAGTTCAAGGGGCTCCATGGGGCACGAAAGGTGCACGTTTCTCTCCCCCTTCCCCCGTTTAGGGCCCCCCGATGAAGCAACGCCCGAAGGGAGGACGGGGAGGGGCGGGGGTGGAGGGGCAAGATGGGTGATCCCACCCTGAGCTTGGGACAGGGGGCGTCTCGAGCGAGGGAGGGGGCCACACCACCAGGGGACCCCCCCTTGCTCCTGCCGCTGGTGGTCCCTGGCGGTGGTGGTGGTGTCGCTGTCCCTATTCCTACATCTTGCGATCGTTTCTTTCCAGGTCATTTGCAATGCATTTCGTACCCAGCCCGTCGAGAGGAGGGGGGGGGTGGGGGGTTGGGCAAGCGCGAATGGGCCCGCCGGCCAGGGTGAGGAGGAGTTGGAGGATGGGAGGAGGGGGCAGAGGGCGAGGAGAAAAAGAAGGAGGTAACAAGGAAGGGGGGAATGAGCGGAAGGAACACGGGGGAGGTAAGGAGGGAGGGCGGGACGGAGGAGAGAGGCAGTGAGGAGGCAGGAGGAGAAGTGGGAGAGAAGCAGGATAATCAACAGGAGGAGGAGGAGGAGGAGGAGGTAAGGAGAAGGAGCGAAGAGAGTGGACGGAGGACGAATGGGGTTGTTGACCATGTATGCAAGTGGAGGCGTGGGGACAAGCACACCGACTCGTCTGACGTATGTAGTCCTTCTTCACCAGTCCAGCGTTGCTTGCGCCCCAGTGGGTGCCGATGCCCTCGCAGGCGGCCGCAGTTTGATGCGAGGATTAGCTTGGCGCGCAGTCGCCCCTCGTGCTTCGAACGGGGGGGAGGGGAGGTGGCAGAGAGGGGTGCTCCCTCCTCTCCCCTCCTGTCCCCCTTCCGAGACGGAGTAGAGGAGGAAGCAGAGGAGGAGGGGGATGCGGACAGGTTGCCCGAAAAATCCCTCTACCACTCAGGCAGGGAAAATAATGGATACGACGGACGTCCGCTACAGCTGCAACCACAAGAACTGGAGTAATTAGGACGACGACGACGACGATGATGATGAGGAGGAGGAGGAGAAGGAGGCTGCGGATGATGATGATGATGATGATGATGATGATGATGATGATGATGATGATGATGATGATGATGATGCTGATGCTGATGCTGATGCTGATGCTGATGATGATGATGATGATGATGATGAGGATGAGGATGAGGATGAGGATGATGATGATGGTGATGGTGATGGTGGTGATGATGATGGGGAGGAGGAGTATGATGATGAGGATGAGGATGATGACGAGGATGATGTTGATGCTGATGCTGAGGTTAATGCAGCTGGCGCTGCTGTTGCTGATGATGATGGTGATGCTGATCATGATGCTGATGATGATGATGATGATGATGATGATGATTATGAGGACAATGATGATGCTGATGATGATGATCATAATGATGCTGCTGATGATGATGCTGGTGATGATAATGATGATGGTAATGATGATGGTAATGCTGATGATAATGATGATGATGATTATGATGATGATGATGATGTTGATGAGGATGATGATGATGATGAGGATGATGGCAATGATGATGATGACGATGATGATGATGATGATGATGATGATGATGGTGACGGTGATGGTGATGGTGATGTTGATGGTGATAATGATGATGATGATGATGATGGTGATGATGATGCCGATGATGCTGACGATGCTGATGGTGATGATGATGCTGATGGTGGTGACGAGGAGGAGTAGGTCAAGAGGCACGGCTGAGAAAGAGAAGGAGCGACGGGGACGGGATAGTTCACATTTTGTTGTTTCCGCCTCCCCTTCCTGACTCCTCTTCTCCTTGTCCTCCTCCTCGTCTTTCGTCCTCATCCTCCTTCCTCGTCCTCTCTTCTTGTCCTTCCTTTTTGTCCCTCCTGCTCCTCCTCCCTCCTCCGCCCTCCTCCCTCCTCCCTCCTCCTGCCTCCTCGTGATCCCTCCTCGTCAGCCTCCTCCTCGTCCTCCTCCTCCTCCTCCTTATCCTCCTCCTCCTCCCCCTCCTTCTCATCGTCCTCCCTTATCCTCCCTACGCCATTCCTCTCCCAGCCTTCTCTTCCTGATGTTTGTGCTTATCGTCAGGAAGTGTTCTCGGCTGCTCATGGGTAGGGGAGTGAGAGGGTGCGTCCCAAAGGCCAACGCAACGTTTTGTAAGCCCCAACCTAGGAGATAGAGGAAGAGGAGGAGGAAGAAGAAGAGGAGGAGAAGGAGGAGGAGAAGGAGGAGGAGGAGACGCTCAGCAAAGTCGCGGTCCCAGCAGGAGCGGCTCCGTCTGCCCGCGGCGCTACGCCCGTCACCAAGAGCCGCTCGCCTTCGACCTTGACCTCTCGTGGCCTCCACGGCCGACTGCGATGTGCTGCTGCGAGTCTCGCGTCCCGTGCTCCAGTCGCCGGTGGCACGACCATCCCGCTGAGGCCAGCTTTTCATCCCGAGTCGTTCTGTTGACGGCTCTGGGGGGGGGGGGCTTGGTAAGGCCCCCCCCCCCCCCGCAGGCCGAAAATGCATATACACACACTTCGCCTTGATTCTTGCACTTGTTTGGGCAATGCCCCCCCCACATTCTTATGCTTGCACATCGTCAGTAGCCACGTAAAGTTAGCCCGAGACTGGCAAAACTTGCATCGACGTTCTCGCACGTCCAGCTTGATTCTCTCACGGTGGGGGTTCTCGTCAAGGAATGTGCCCACCAGGCTTCAGACCTTGGAGGATTCCTTATCTGATGAGGGCGGCGGTGATGTCGATGGCCAGTCCACGATTCGAGTTCCACCGGCTTCCAGACCCTAAGTTCCTAATCCAACGATTCCTTATCCATCATCTCCAGCCCCACCAACGCACCCCGCAGGTGGGGAGAGGTTCAGCGAAGCCCACAGGGAACACCAGATATCCCCACCTTAGAGGGTAAGTCGGCTTGTGAGGCCAAGGCCATGCTTGTGAGGATGGGGCTCGGCTAAACGATCCCTATCCAGCGCCCTCACCGCACAATCGAAACCGATGGCAAGGATGGGTAACCTTCCCAAGGGTACCGTTACATCCTTGCCCCTTCGGTCCACTCTTGACCACTTTCGACGGCCCGCCTCGCTCGAAGAAGCTGCAACCCGGGCGCCCAAGTGGCTCGCACCCTCATCGCGCCTCCCTGCTCTCAGTTTGGACTGCAACTCGATCGCTGCCACGGGTGCTGCCCGAGCCCCCCCGCCCGAGGCGAGCGCGGGCGTGGCCGAGGCCGCGCAGGCGGCGCCGCCCAGCGCGAGCCCTGCGCGCCAGGGCGCGGCGGAGGGTGCCGCCGAGGCCGTGCCCGCTGCGCCGGGCGGCGACGGGTCCGCGCCTCGGGCGGCGGCCTTCGCGAGAGCCTCGCGTGCGGGGGCTTCGCGCCAGAGGGGGGGAGGCCCTCGTCACCACCGCTGGATTCGCCTCGAGGTCCTGGTCAGAACGCGCCCCGGGAGAGGCCTGGGGAGTGGCGGTATCGGTTCCTGTTCGGCTTCCACACGGCAGGGCTCCTTTCGATGCCGATTCCGGCCGGCCCGATCCGATTCGAATCCGACATGCAAGATTTCCGACGGTCAGATTTTGCCATTGCTTGAGTTTTGCCTTGACGTCGGCTCCCGGGGGCCGCCATCGGGCCCCGGCACCACCAAAAATATAGATCTGTGGCGAAAAGCTCACTTCCCTGGAGAAGGGGTCGGGACCATTGGGGCCGCGCGCTAACAAACAGATCGGCCCGAAGCTTACATGGCGCTGTTGTGCATCCTGGCGCGGCCAATCCGACTCGATTCCTACTCCGTGCCGATGCAGCCCGATCCGACCTACGTCCGATTCGATCCGATTTGTCGATTCGATGTCGATCGCTCCTGCTCAGTGGCTAGGGGCGCGGCCCCTTCCACGGCGTGGCCGGTGGGGCAGTTTCGGACGTGCTGTCTCGGCCGTGGAGGCAGTGCATGGCCACCAATAGATACCTCCTCGAATATTCTCGTGGGCGTCCACGAGGCTGGCCGTGCGCGCTTATTCCTCCGCTCTCCGACCTACGCCTCGACGCTGCGCGCGAGGCCGCGACGCCAAAGGCGTAAGTGTGAGTTTGTGCATGTCTGTGTGCCCCCCACCGAGGGTGGCAAGGAGGAGGAGGAGGAGGAGGAGGAGGAGGAGGAGGAGGAGGAGGAGGAGGGGGAAGGGCGGAGGGGCGGAGGAGGAGGAGGAGACGCAGCAGCGCAGCAGCAGCAGCAGCAGAAGTAGCAGCAGCAGCAGGAGGAAGAGGGGAACTGAGCTTGCCACCCACAGGAGGTGGCACCCCCCTCCCCCCACGTCTGCGCGCAGCCATCACGCCGCAGGCGCAGGCGCGCGGGGCCGGCGCTGGCCGTCTTGTCGCGCCAAGTTCAACCTGATCTATAGCGGGTTCCCTGCTCTCGATGACGATGACCATTACGATGACGATGACGATGCTTGTTAAATGCTGAGCGTCATCGACATCGTCATCGTCCCAGGCCCCTGGCGGAGCTGCCGACTGCGACGGCCTCCTTCGGCCATGAAGCTGCTCTGTCTTCCTGCGGCGTTCTCGCCCCTCCTGCCTGCCGCATTCGTCCTCCTGGCAGTGGCGCCGTCGTCCTGATTTGCGGGTCATGTCCTGGGCTCTTGCCCTTGGTGGTTCTTGGAAGCGGCAGGGCGGAAAAGCAACAACGACGGGACTGGAACAAAAACACCGGAGCCCGGAAGACACAGCAAAGCGAGGGCGGAAGCGTAACAGCCCTGTCGATTTTCAGGAACCAGGGCCACCCCAGCCCAGCCCGAAGGTCCCAGACCCCTCAAGAAAAAATCGGTTGAGCGGCGTGCGGGTTCCGCTGTGTGGTTCTCCATGTTTCAGGACGTCCCCCCCTGAAAATTGGCAGGCCCGGCGGCGACTTCAGGTCCATCATCCTCACGCTCCTCCTCGACCCTCGATCCGCAGAACGCCTCCTCCTCCTCCTCCTCGTCCTCCTCCTCCTCCTCGCTCCTCCCTCCGCGCCCGCCTCCGCCTGGTGGCTTTCTGGGCAGGCTTTGACTTGCGGGTCCTCTACTCCTGGCTGCCTGCGCAGGCCACCTGCGCGCCTGCGCCACCTGGCCGCACGGGGCGGGCACCCTGCGCCGCTGGCCATGGTGCGCTTTTTCCTGGTCCTGCGCGCGGCCCACTGGCCTCTGCCGTTGCGTGTCGTGCAGCTCCGAGCGGTTGCTCCGTGTGTTCGGAGATCTCGGGGTTGGTACCATCACCAAGGTCGGCGGTGTTCCTAAGGTGACCCCGATCTCGGTGATGGTGGCAGTCTTCGGGCTTCCCAGGCGGCTAAAAGATTACCGCCTACACCGAAATCCAGGATCCCGAGTGGAGGCAACCCCCTGTGTTGGTGTCGGTGCCCATTTCCGAGCCTCCAGGGTTTGTGCTAGGGGTGCCTGGCACTGGGCTGGCCCGCTGGCTGGCTTCATGCGCCGCCGGGCGCGTCGTCCTCCCCTCCTCTTCCACCGCCGTGCGTCGCTCCTCTGCTCGTTCTTTGCCCGCAACTCGGGCTGTCGCCTTGGGGCTTCGTCCCCCCCTGGTCGTCGAATCGTCGCTGTCGTTCCTCTCTCCTCGCCTCGCAGTGCTGGGTTCGTCCCAGGGTCCCGGGCGTTGTTTTGCTGCGCCTGCCTGCTCTCCCGGGTCGTCCACCTGGGGGCTGGCGCTTGTCGGTGCGCTGCACCCGCTCTCGCTCGCCCGTGCTGGAGCCGCTGTCCAGGCGACGTCTCAGCCAGCCTCCCCGGGGTCTCACGCCACGAGCTCGCTCGTGGCTCTCCGGCTTGTGGTGCGCCCCGTGCTCACCCGTCGTGGAGCTGCTGGCTGGGCTTCCGCTCAGCCGACCTCCCGGTTCCGCAGCACCCGTGCAGCTCATCGCCGCCTCGCTCCACGCTCTGCTTCTTTCGCGCCCTGCTCCTGACGAGTAGGCTCGCACCCTGCGGAGCTGCTGTCCGGGCAGCGTCTGGGTCGGCCTCCGCGGGCCTCCCGCCGCGGCCAGCTCGTGGCTCTCCAGCCGGCGGTGCTGTTGTCCCTTGCCGGGCCTCTGCTCGGCTGCGGTCCAGGCTTCTGCTCGGCAGGCCTCCCCGGGCCCGCGGCGTCGGTGCAGTTCGGCCGCCCTGCTCGCACACTGTCCTTCGGCGCCTTACGCTTCTCGAGCTTCGCGCGCCGCATCTGCGATAGGCATGTCGCTGTGCACGCACGCCCTTCCTGCACGTGCAGCCGTTCGCTGGCTGCTGCCCATCGACAAGGCGCTGGTGGTAATTGCCTTGGGCGCGTCCCGCTGTTTGCGTTGCTGAGTTGGACCAGCCCGCCAGGAAGTAAAACATGTTCGTGCGTGTGTGTGTGTGTGTGGAGATCATAGGGGGGGCCTGTAATCGAGATCATGTTGGAGAGCATGTGATCTTCCAGATGCCATGGCGCCCTCTGTTTCTTTCAAGACGTCTCCTGGCCTCCTGGTTCGCGCACGTGCCTCGGGCTATGATGCTTTGACCCCCCCTGACCCTGGCCTCCGTTTTTTCGGCTCTCCCGAGCTTCTTTTTGCCAGATGTGCGGTGCATCGTTCGTGCGCGTCGGCGTGTCTCTGGAGGTGGACTGGCCGTCTCGCCTCGCAACGGTTCCAGCCTGTCCGTCTCGAACTGAGTCCCACCAGGCCCACCTACAGTGGAGACCCATGCCAAGAAACACCCTGCTTGCCTCCAGGGTGCCATGGGCTTTTTGGGCTCCGATGGTTCCGCGATGGGGAACGTGGCCCTCCCACACCAAGAATCGATGGATTTCCTGGGGCCTCAGGGTTGGGTTTCTTGTGGAAGGTTTCTTGTGGCCGAGCCCCTAGTGCATGCCAGCACGGACTCCCAGACATGTTGTTTCTCTGGCTGTTCCGTTTCGGCCCCCGTCTCCGCCGTCTGTCCTCTGCCCCAAGCGGGCGCTCCGTCTCCCGAGGCGCGCCTCCTCCGACTCGCGGTTTCGGGTCGGACCTTTTTTAGGCGACACGCTGGCTTGTTGCAGGCGACTGCAGGCACAGGGGAATTGCCAAAGCACTGATCTGTACTCTCGTCAGTATCGTTTATCCGACCCCCATCCCCATCCTCATCCCTTTTCGAGACCCCCACTAAAGTAACACCCCAGTTGGGGACACACCCCTCGAAACCCGAAGGGAACGACCTATATCCCCATCTAGGGGGGGAAATCGGCCAGGGGGGCCCAGGTCACGCCGCTGGGGATGGGGATTAGACAAACGATGCTCATCTCGCTTCTGATGTTGCATCAGTGTCTCCGCTTCAGCAACCGTCGCACTGAGGTCGCTCGGGCCCTGCGCAGGAGGCACCGCATTGGCGCGCGTGCCTTCCGAGGTGGGGGGGCGGGCGGCGTGTCAGATGTGCAGGCTGTTTCTCGCCAGGATACAATGTGTGCACAAGTGAGCGATGCAAACCAAAGGGGTCGTCTGCGCGGACATTGGCGCGTAAGCTGCCCGCGAAAGGTCGCGTGTAAGCTGTGGCGTGCCGCGTTGGCGGCCCGCGTAAGCCACCGCGTAGGATCGCTGAGCCATCTCGCGTAAGACCCCTTTTTGATCGTCGCTCAAGTGGCCGAAGCAGGGGAGCCAGGGGCAGGGTGGCGAGACTGGCATGAGTGTGTGTGTGTGTGTGCGTTCTTTGGCCAGTGCCAGCTGGGCCAGAGGCATCGCTTTGTCGCGATGGTCGGTTCGAGCCAGGAGTGTGCCCCAAGCAGCCACATGCGTGCTTTTGGACATCTTCACGCGCCCGTGCTTCCAGAAGGTGACACCCCAACGTCTTCACTTTCCTTCCCCCCATCCCTGAACGCACGCCGATGCCACAGAAGAACGCGCCCTTAACAAATATCCAGGGACGTGGTCACCCCAGCTGCAATAAGGGGCAGTGCGAGATCCATAGGGGTCGTCGGAGGCACGGACATTTCAAAAGGGCTCGTCGCCCCTTCTGCGAGGCACATGAGCGCCAGAACCTTAACGAAGCGCGCGCGTGGCTCTAGCAGGAGACTTGGTGCGAAGGAAGTAGTAGGGAGGAGCCTCCTCCCTTACGTCCAAATCTCCAGACAAAAAACATGCTTTCATATCGGGCACCCCTCATTGATCTTGAGAGCTGCGCCCCAAACGATGACGGTTGCTCCAGTACCGCGGGTCTACCAGCGATTTTTCCGGGCGTGATGATGATGATGACGATGATGGGGAGGATGATAATGATAAGGATGATGATGATTGTGATGGTGGTGATGATGATACTGATGATGAGGAGGAGGATGATGATGATGCTGATGATGATGATGGTGGTGGTGGAGGTTTGCATCACTCCGTTATGGCCTCGGGCCTCGGTGGTCTGGGCCTGACGAGTGCCGCGGCCTGGTCGCTGCGTGCTCGGGCGGGCTCGAGCTGCTCCTCTCCTCCCCCCCCTCCCCTTCGGCAGTTCGTCTGTCCACCCTGTCGGCAGGGTTGCACCCAGGCGCTGGCTCTGAACCCCACCCGCTGGTGGTGGAGACGCAACGGGCCCGGCAGACACTTGGCCCGGCAGTCCGGGCATGGCGAGGGAGGGAAGGCATTTTGGCTCAAGCACGTGGCAGCTTCTATGGCCATGGCCCCGCTTGCCTTCTCCGTACCCAGCGGGGTGCCGCCCGCCGCCACCGCCACCTCTCGGCTGCGCGTGAGAGTGACCCTCCGCTGGAGTGACCTTTGGTGCGGACCCACAGCGGTCCCCCAAGTATTCGCTTGCGCGCTCGGATTTTGCCTCCCCTCGGCCTCCGTAGGGCCGCGCACCAAAGGTCACTCCTGCCTGTGGTCACTCCTGCGTGCAGCCGAACCTCGGCAGCCCCGGCCGTGCAAGTCGGCCTCGCGTCGCCCGCCAGTGCCCTGCGGGCGTTGGCGCCCCACGCGCCCACCAACTCGGCCGCCACCTCGGGCGTGGGCGCGGGTGCCGCCGCCAGCGCCGCCGCGCTGTTAGCTGGTGCCCTCGGTGCGAATCGCGCAAAGGCTCTGGGCCTCTTAGTTGGGATCGGAGCTGGTGAGATTGGGGGATCGCGCCGCATCGCCGATGCACCGGCGATGCGGCTTGATGTGGAGCCCGAGTCTCTCCACGCCGTCGTCCCCGATGCACCGCCGACGTCGCCGATGCATCGTGGATGCATCGTAGATGCGGCGCGATCCACCGACCCCATCTACTCGGACCCTATCTGGGAGGCCTCGAAAGGCGGCTGCCCGTCACAGGCGCAAGGCGCGGCAGCCGCTGCGCATGGCGGCGGCCGTGCCGAAGCTGGAGGACGCGCCGCCGCCGCTGCTGGAGCTCTCGGAGGATGACCCGTCCGCGTTCACGGTTGGCATCTTGGGCGACTTGCATTTGGACCCTCGCGACCTTGAGCACTCGTACGAGGGCCGCGAACACGTGAAGGCCGCTTTGAAGGGGGTCCCTCGCCCCTTCGTGGTCTCGCTCGGCGACCTCGGCGAGTCGAAGGATTGCAACCAGACGAAGCAGCTCTTCTCGGGCACAACGGACTGCTTCAAACTCGCGCGCGAGTACCTTGACGGTTTCGGCGCCAAGTGGGACGTTGTGGGAGGCAACCACGACCTCGAGGGCATCGACGAGTTCGGAACCGATGAGAAGAACTTGGAGGCATACTTGAACATATTGGGCAAGGAAACCCCGCAGTTCTGCCACCAGGTGGCGGACAAGGTGCTTCTCGTAGGACTCGGGTCAACCGCATTCCGCACAGCGCAGTACACATCCCACGAGGTCTCCATTGACAAGAAGCAGTTGGAGTGGTTCGAAGACATCATCGAGAAGCACCCTGACTCCGAGGGATGGCAGGTCTTCTGCTTCTCGCACGCGCCAATCATCGGCTCTGGCTTGCGCGTGTTGCAGGAATGCCACGTTGTCAACGGGTGTTGTTGGTTAAACCATTGCGACTCCGTGGACTCCAAGAGGTTCATCAATGTCGTGCGCAACAACGCTTGCATCAAGGCTTGGTTCTCCGGACATTTTCACCTGTCCCACGACTACCAGGACTCCATCACCTTTCCAGAGGGGAACAATCGCGGCTCTTGCGTCTTCGCCCAGACTGCCGTCATGACCGCCCGCTCCACGCGCGACGGCAGGCGGCAGTCCAGGTTCCTCCGCGGCAACGCCGAGGGCTTCGAGATCTGCACGATCGACCACTCGAAGGGCGGCAAGATTCGCCTGGATGCGACGATCACCTATGGAGAGTGCATCATCGACGGTGACAACATGGACGGCTCCAACTCGTGCTCAACCATTGCGTACGCCCACCAGCACGAGGACTACGATCACGACAAGTGGTTCAAGGCATACGTGCCCCAGGCCGACGACGGCTGCTACGTCGAGCTCCCGGACGGCACCATCAACCCGGGCATGGATTTCTCGAACCCAGAGCAAGTCTGTTGGTGGCACATGAAGGACGGCGCTGTGTTGGGCGTGCACAACGGCATGATCATCGAGTACGACTCCACGACGCTCGCGCCTTTGGGCATGGTGGTCAGCCGCGACGAGCTCAAGGACCGCCTCGTCGCCGTCATCGACGACGAGTGGGGCGGCTCTGCCCTCCTCCTCTACCGGGACGATTCCGAAGACGTCACCGTGGTACAGCCCAACGAGGATGGGTCCTATTGGCGCAAGGTGGTGCGCAACAAGATGCACCGCATGCAGGAGATGCGTCGCGTGGCCGCCGCCAAGAATTGGATGAAGCAGCAGAGGGGCGAGGACGCGGAATTCAAGGTCTTGTCGTCGTACGGCCCGTACAAGACAACGGCTGGGCAGGTGATGGGTCTGAGCACCCGGGCCATCGACCCCAAAGCAAAGGTGAAGGTGGCGGCGTAAGGAGATGGGCGCATTCAGACGCCGCTGGAGGTGCGGAGAATCTGCTCGGTGCTTTGGAACCAGTTTTCCCAGAGGGTCATGTGCAGCCCTGACCCCTGCAATGCGTGAATTAGTTTATGTGATGTGTCCCCTGCCCACATCCTGCATGCCAGCTGGATCAGTAAAACGAGTTTGACGGCAGGGTTTTCGTGCAGCAGAGAAGGTCGCTGCTCCAAGGAGATCTTCCGTGGCCGAGAGGTCACAAACGCACCGCCTCCTGGCCCCCGAAGCTCGCGCCTCATGAGGAGGCGGAGTGTTGGCACAGGATTCGGTAACTTTTTTCCTTTCGGTGGGCTTCGGGAGCTAGCGACAGGCGATCCTGGCGTGGTGTGTGGCCGGGCGCCCCCTCGGTGGCTGCTTGCGCCATCCAGTTTCGAATTGGTGGTCTTGTCGCTTCCCCTTCGATCATGGATCGGTGAGGGCCAAGAGAGTGCCACTGGAAAATTTGTAGTGAGCCTCCCGATCCAGCACGCTCTATGTTGACTCCGTGATGTCAGCATGTGCGGTGTCTGACCCCATGCATGTCGCAGGGCGCATGCAGGACATATTCATTGCGAAGGGCGGTAGCAAAGAGTGCAGAAACAAAGCTGATGCAAACAGCGACGACTATAGAGAATGTCGGAGTGTGGGGCCCACGGCCCCCCCCAGACAGAATAACAGGCGAGGCCAACCCCCGGGTACGTACCCACTTGCGCCCCAGGGGTCTGGGACGGGCAAGTGGGGGCCGGTGGGGGCAGAGGCCGGTGGGGGCCTCACGATCCCAAGAGGACCCCGAGACGGCCAAGTCGTGTTCAAGACGTGGCGCATGTTCCACAGAACGGCCCCAGCAGCTTCCCAGACGCCCCAGAAAGGCCGCAAGAGGACGCCCAAGAGGGCGCCCAGGGGCCAAGTTTATTGATCTTCATTGGGCCATTGACGGATTTTAGCGTCCCCGAGTTTTTGTCGGTTCCGACCGCTCAAGACGGCTCAAGAGCCCTCCAAAGGCGCCCCAGGGTGGCCTAAGATCCCGCAAGATGGCCCCAAGACTGCCCAATAGGGTCCCAAGACGACCCAGAAGGCCCCCCGGAGAAGGCCCAAGAGGCGGACTCGAGAAGGCCCCCGAGAGGAGGCCACAGGAGGCCGAGATCACGAGCCGGCCACCCAAGAGGCTTCCCAGAGGCACCCAGAGGCCCCCAAGATGCCCTCAAGATGCACCAAGAGGCCCCCCGATGCCCCGAAAAATGCTTCCAAGAGGCCCCCATGAGAGAGACCGGAGGAGACCGGAGGAAGCCTGCGAGAGGCCTCGCGCGCAGATCCTAGACGATGCGCCACTCAGAAGCTACAACTATCCCAACAAGGGCCTCCGATCCCCTGTGGACGTTCCAAATATCAAAGCAGTTGCATCAATAATCATCTTCAGGAATGCACGAATCGACGTGCACACAGGTTCCTGCAGAAACACCGCTCGAATCGAGAAGAGGACTATGATAACGAAGACGTGGGGGACGGGACGGAGGACGATAGCAGGAAGTTGAAGAGACGAAGAGGCACCCAAACCGAACCCCGAGCAGCCTCCGAGTGGCCGCTAAAGAATCCACCAATAGCCCAACAGGGCCCTAATATTTCAGGAGGGCGGTTCCATAGCGCTTGGCGAACCCAAACGCCGCAATGCCGCTGTTGAGACAACCAAGTTCTGTCCCCAATCATCCCCCAGTCATCACCTTCGCATCGGGCTGTTCCGCGACGACCGTTTCTGCGATGTAAGCCCTGTTGACCTGTGATGTAAGCCCTGTGGGTGGGATGCTTCTTGTGTTTAGGTTTCTCTGTGCCTTCGCTTGTTCGGGGGCACGGCGCGCGGTTATGTTTATTTATACCAGGAGGCCGCTCCAAATAGTGCGCATTCGCAGAGCAAGATTTGTCTTACATGTTTGGGGCGTCCGTCGTAGGCGCCCGCGGAGTGTGTGTGTGTGTGTGCGTGTGTGAGTGAGTGTGTGTGTGTGTGTTTTGTGTGTGTGTGTGTCTGTGGGTGTGTATTTCATTGTGTGTATGTGTCTGTGTGTGTCTATATGTGTCTGCGTGTATTGCGATGTGTGTGTGTGTGTTATCCTGGCTTGTCCCGTCGTGTCTTGTCTTGTCTTGTCTTGTCTTGTCTTGTCTTGTGCTGTGCTGTGCTGTGCTGTGCTGTGTTGTGTTGTGTTGTGTTGTGTTGTGTTGTGTTGCGTGCGTGCGTTGTGTTGTGACGTGGTTTGTTTTGTTGTGATGTGGTTTGTTGTGTTGTGTTGTGTAGTGATTGTGTGTGGGCGTGGAGAGGTGTGTGGGTGCGTGTGTGGTGTTGTGTACTTGTTGCCCTTATATTATGTGATATGTGTGTGGACATGTGTGTGAAGGTGTGCGACGGTGTGTGTGTGTGCGGATATGTGTTCATGTGTTCACGTGTGTTTGTGCTTGACTTGCTCCGCCTCGCCGCCGCGCGCGAGGCCGCGATCGCCAAAAGTGTGTGTGTGTGTGCGCGCGCGTGTGTGTGTGTGCTTGTGTGTTTCCCCTGGTCTCCACGCCGCGTGATCTGGCCCCGCCACGCGCGTCCCACCGCTCGACTGCCCACGCCGCGCCGCCGCGCGCGTGGCCGCAACTCCAAAAGAAGTGTCAGGATGCGTGCGTGTGTGTGTGTGTGTTTCTCCGCCTCGACGCTGCGTGCGAGGCCGCGACCGCCAAACAGTGTGTGTGTATTTGCGCTTCTAATTGTACTCGCACGTGTCTGGCATACCAAGGGGGCAGCGTCCGAAGCCACGAGCGGAACGAGCACAGCCCTGAGCCAGCGACGGGCCCTGGTGGCCTCAGAGGGGCTCTCAGGGACGAGCCCGTACCGAAGGCGGCCGGTGTAAGCTGCGTGCGTGTGTGTTGTGTGTGTGTGCGTGTGCGAAGGGGGGGGGCCCTCCTCCCTCTCCCCCTCCTCCTCCCCCTCCTTCTCCTCCTCCTCCGTCTCCCTCTCTTCCCTCCCTCTCCTCCTTCTATGGGAGGGGGAGGGGGAGGCCGAGGATGAGGAGGAGGATGACAAGAGCGAGGATGTGCAGTGGAGGAGGAGTTTCGGTTTTGGCGATGATGCGGCGACCACGAGGGAGCCTGGGCGCAGGGAGAGGTCTCAGACCCTTCCGGGAAAATACATACCCGAGTTGGGAGGGGAGACCACGAGCGAGGCGAGACAACCCCTCCCTCCACTTTGCAGTGGGTGGCTCACTTGGCCCTTCACGCTGTCAGGACTTACATTCAACTGAAAGCTTCCTGGCACTGTCAACTGCATAAGCTCCACAACTACGACATCACAGCATTCCTTTCATAACTGCCCACAAGTGCGAATCATGCAGAGCAGAGAGAGAAGGTGGTCAGCTGCCGTCCGCAGCTACTGGACCTCCGCGATGACCAGGGGTAGCTGGGGCAGCAAACCTCGCGGGTCGTCGACTAGTTCCTTGGTCCTTTCGGCCTGGACAAAAATTGAGAGAGGGGGACATGGCTCTGGCCAGAACTTTCAGAGCTGGCCTTCCTTAGGAACGGAAAGACGGCATCGCAAACAATTGAAAATTGAAACGCGCTCGATCACATCATGGTGAGCGGTAAAGGGCCTCATCTTGCGAGCAGCGTTAAAAGAGAATCCGGATGTATTACGGGTAGTTTTCAAGCCTTCCCGAGACGAGTGGTCACGTTCACACGTGAGGTGTTTCTGTTTGGATGACCAGCAACCTTAAAAGGATTCTCTCCTGCAAGTCATCGGCTTGGGTCACCGAGGTACACCTCAGGGGGGAGTTGGCCTCTAGAGGCCCCTTCGCACACAAATCCGCAGCTTGATTCAAAAGGAGTACATCAGAACTGGATGCCTGAGCGGCGTTCGGTAGAATGTCCTCGAAAAAGCTCGCCGTGCAAGCTACAGTTAGGGGACTGTGACAATATGTGCATCGTCACAGCCCGTGAAGGAGGAGGAAGGATAGGATGAGGAAGAGGAGGAGGACGGAGGCGGGAGGTGGGAGATGACGTGGAGAAGAAGGACGAAGTAGATGGTGGGTGGCGAGGAGGGGGGCGGGAGTGAGGAGGAGCAGGGGTTGTTTTGTCGCTGTCGCATCCGTGAGGGCTCCCCTAGCACGCTGCCCCTGACTGAGCAGCTCCGCCGCGCCGACTCACGCTCCCCTCCGCCGCACGGCGCTCTCGCGACGCTTGGGTCAGCCTCCCAGCAGCGTGCGGCTGGCCGCGAGGAGGCAGCCGTGGCTGCGGGCCGCAGCTCGTTTCCGAAGGGCGCGCGCCATGCGCCGAGTGGCCGGGCACGTGGCCGCGCTCGAGGGCCTGGAGGCTTCGGACCCCAGCGCCGCCCGCAGGGAGTGGGCGCATGCCTCCCTGACGCCTCGCAGCTGCTCGGTGCCGACGGTCCCGCCGCGGACGCAGCACCGCAGCACCCGGTGGCGCTCCCGGCCCTGGGCCAGGCGCCGTGCGAGGGGTGCGCCACGTGGCCGCCAACGCGCAGCTCGCCGCAGCTCGCCGCAGCGCCTGACGTCTCTGCGGCAGCTGCTGGGTGACCCGAAGAGGCGGCCAGCGTCGTGCCCGCCTCGGCACGCCAGCGCGAGCCGCGCCGGGGCGCCGGGGCCCCCTTCCGCGGGCGGAGGCGGCTCGCTCCCTCGCAGAAGCGGCCCGTGCAGGGCTGGTGCCCCTCCCGTGCACGTCGGGAGGCCGCGGGCGCCCGAGCTGCGCTTCGCCCGGCCGCGCCGCGGTGCCCGGCGGCGCGGCGCAGCATCTGCTGGAGCCTGCGGATCGCGCGGGGCCGCGTCGTGGGCCACCGCGCCGGTGCGGCGCTGCACCGTGGCCGCCTCTCGCGTTCCGGCCCGAGGAGCCCGCGAGCCTCGTCGGCACTCGCCTGGACTCGCGCGGCGGTCGCCCGGGCGAGGTCGTCCGCCCAGCCAGCGTCGAGGAAGCAGCAAGACGGTGGCAGGCCCCGCAGCCTCAGCGCCGCCTCGGGCACGGTGGCCAGCAGCCGTCGTAACTTCTACGCTGCGGTCTGGGCGCCCCAGCTCGACATCGATCCCATGGCTTGGACCGACGCTCGCCCGAACCCGCAAGGAGGGGGAGGAGGAGCAGGACGGAGAGGAGGGGGGCAGAAAGAGGAGCAGGAGGAGGAGGGGGAAGACGAGGAGGAGGACGAGACAGAGAGAGGAGAGAGGAAAGAGGCAAGCTTCGTGCGCTCGCCCCATATCTCGCATCCTACCCCTCTCACCCATCCCTTCCAATTGCGCGGTGTTTGTTTTGTATTCTCGGACGTGTGCAATGGCGGAACTGGCACTTCCAAAGAGACCGCATCGTCTCATGCAAGATCAGAAAGGGGGAGTGGGTACACAGGAAGAGGAGGTGGCGGACGAGCAGGAGGATCAGCAGGAGGAAAATGATGATGAGGAGGACGAGGACGAACACCAGCAGCAGGAATTGGAGTGGAAGGAGCGGGAGGAGCAGGAGTACCAGGGGAAGGCGGAGGAGGGGGACAGAGGGGGGCGACAACGATGAGGAAGGATGCGGATCCAGAAAAGTGGCCCGCGCTGGTGCGAGCGCCATTCTGAAAGATGGGAGCACACCCCGATCCTGCAAACAATGAGGCCCATGCTGCAGCGGGAACACCGCAGCGGGAACCCCGATCCTACAAACAAAAGGATTGGGAACGCTCGGATGAGACGGAACCGCAATCAACCACAATTCAGTACGATTCAGGGACGCTGGCTGTACCGAGGCACGCCCAGGGGTGTCCAGTGACAGCCGCATGCCTGTGATGATATCGCCGTCGTCTGTCTCGCACGGGAGCGGGTAGCGTGAAGATGGCCAGGAAGCGACATTGTCAGCTTTGCGACGAGACGCAGGTGGCGTGTCGACTTGGGCCTTCAAAGGCATACGTAGTCGTCCATGAACCGGGATGCGAGGATCAGGATGCGGACACCCTCGCCGACGTCGTACCGCACTCTGGCGCGAGCAGGCGGCGGGAGGCCACGCCCGCCGTATAGGGAGGCCTCGCCCGCCGTATAGGGAAGACGTCGCAATGAATAAGCACCATTCGGGTGAGGGCGCCAGCCAAAGAGCTGCCCATTGCGAGTCCGGCTGTGGCCCGGCCGACGAGCGTGCCGACCGCGAGCCAGAGATTCGCGAGGCTGTGTTCGAGAGCACCGCCGAGGCATGCTGGCCAGAAGCTTACGCGGAGGGGCGACGCCCTGGGCGGCTCGAACGGCAGGGCGCGCACCGGTCCGGGCCAGCGTGGGGCGACGATGACCGAGATGCCTTTTGCCAAGAGGACCTATCGGTAAAAGGCCCACGCCCGTCGCACAAGCCAGCGCGGGATGTTCGTGAAGCAGCCGGCGAGTTCGCTCCCATGTTGTGGACGGGCCCGTGGGGGGGCAGTTCGCTGGAGCGCTCCCGCAGCGGCAGCAGTGAGTCGGCGCTCTGCGCGTCGATGTGCATGTGTTCGGGTATCCTGGCGGAGAGGAAGGAGGAGGAGGAGGAGGAGGAGGAGGAGGAGGAGGAGGAGAAGGAGGAGGAGTGACAACCCAAGAATCATCAACGATGTTGGAATAAACCCTCTCTCCAAGCTCCCTCCTCATTGGCCCCTACAAATGTTCATTTCCACTGAGGGAACTGCCTCGTTGGAAGGCAACCGTTTGAAGACCCTAAAGCATGCCAGTCAACTTTTCCTCGGGACTCCAACGCCACGGATCAAGCTGACTGTTGCGTCTTGACCATGCTGGATCGTGCCAGAACGCCATTCCTGGGACGTCAGCACCTCGAACCAACGTAAATGTTTCGCGATCATAATCCTGGATCCTTCCCAAACGCAATTGCTGGTACGCTGATCGTGTGAATCCGTGAAGCTCTTACCATGAAAAAGATGCACGGCGCTGAGGCGAGAGCCACATGCTGAAAAGGAACGGCCCTCTATCCGTGAAGCTCTTCATTTTTTCACACAACCAAACGCATCTGCGCAGCGCTAGGGCGAGAGTTACATTTTGAAAACGGCCCGCCCTCGATCCGTCAATCTCTTACAATGGGTTTAAACGAATGGGCGCGGCGCTAAAGCGAGAACCACATGTTGAAAACGGCCCGCCCTCAATCCGCGAAGCTGTTTGCCAATGTTGAGAACGAATGTACGCGGCGCTGAGGCGAGAGCCACATTTTGAAAACGGCCCGCCCTCAATCCGGGAAGCTCTTGCATTTTTTGTATAATTACCCTGGCGACGTACCCAACCCCTGCGCAATGCGGGGCATGAGTAGCTTGGGAGACGTTATACGGAGGTGATGACGTGACATGGGCGCATATACTTCTGCGAACGGCATTCGTGAGGCTCGCAGCCCCCCAAGGATTGCGATGTCTCGCTCAGATCTGTCTGGTGCCTCGCTCCGCTGAACCCGCCACCAGCCTTCGAAAGTGGCGACCGTTTCGCAGATCGCAGCCCCCCCAAGGATGGCGAGGCCCCGCTCAGATCTGCGCGGTGCCTCATTCCGCAGGACCCACCAGCACCCCTTGAAAGTGGCGACCGTTTCGCAGATTGCAGCCCCCCAGGCACGGCGAGGTCTTGCTCAGATCCGCGCGGTGCCTCACCCCGCAGGACCCACCAGCAGCCCTCGAAAGTGGCGACAGTTTCGCAGATCGCAGCCCCCTAGGGACGGCGAGGTCCCGCTCAGGTCCGCGCGGTGCCTCACTCCGCAGGACCCACCAGCAGCCCTCTTCAAAACGAATACCCAACCAAGGACCAAGGAGGTTAGGGAAAAAACGAATGTGCGCGGCGCTAAGGCGAGAACCACATTTTGAAAACGACCCGCCCTCCATCTGTGAAACTGCTGCCAATGTTTCAGCTTCAGGGCCATAAATGGTAAGGAAGTCGAAGGCGAAACGCCCCGGCCGCCCTAAAAACTGGCCTTGGGGTGCGGCAGTGCGAAGTTTTTCACAAGGAAAAGGAATGGGAGAAGAGGAGGAGGAGGATTAGGTGGATGAGAACGAGGAGGAGGAGAGGGAGGATGAGGAAGAGGAGGAGGAGGAGGAGGAGGAGGAGGAGGAGGAGGAGGAGGGGGGAGGAGGAGGAGGGGGATGAGGAGGAGGAGGAGAGGAGGAGGAGGAGGAGGAGGAGGAGGACGAGCAGGAGGAGAAAGAGGAGAGGAAGAAGCAGGAATGGGAGGAGGGGGGAGGAGGAGGGATAAGCAGGAATGGGAGAAGCAGGAATGGGAAGATAGGGATGAGGAAGAAGAGGAGGAGGAGGAGGAGGAAGAGGATGAGGAGGAGGTGGAGGTGGAGGAGGAGGAGGAGGTGGAGGAGGAGGAGGAGGAGGAGGAGGAGGCGGAGAAGGAGGAGGAGGTGCAGGAGGAGGAGGACGGAGGAGGAGGACGGAGGTGGACGAGGGAGGACGGCGGAGGAGGAGCGAGGACGGAGGAGGAGGACGGAGGTGGACGAGGGAGGACGGCGGAGGAGGAGCGGGGAAGGGGGGAGGGTGGGACGGGCGGCCCCGCGTGGGGTGGGGCAGGCGCCCCCGCCGGCCGTCGCCTCTGCGGAGCCTGGGGCGGCCCTCCCGGCGTCCCCTCGCAGGGCCTCGCCGCGGGCCCGCCGCCCGCGCCCCTCCTCGCCGAGCGGAGGGGGGCGAGCGACGAGGACGAGCGAGGACGAGGGCGAGGAGAAGGAGGGCGAGGAGGACGAAGAGGCCCTCCTCCCCCGAGGACGAGGGCGAGCGAGGACGAGGGCGGGGAGGACGAGGGCGAGGAGGACGAGGGCGAGGGTGGCGAGGAGGACGAAGAGGCTCCGAAGGAGCACGGACTTTAGGAGAAGTAGCGGGCCCTGGGCCCAACGGACGAAGCGCCTCACGAGGTCCGCAAGTGCTCCCGAGCCAGCTTGGTCGTCCCAGGCTACCGAGGCAGGACGAGAAGGATGATGATTCATAATCCTCAGGGATGCTTCATGGATTCTCTTCGGAGCGCTCTTGGGGGCCTCTGGGGGGGGCAGCTTTGGGGCCTCTTGGGGTGCTTCTAGTGGCGTTTTGGGAGCGTCTGGGGGGACTCTTGGGGCTTCCTGGGGGTCTTTTGGGGGCTTCTTGCAGGCCTTTTGGGGCCTCCTAGGGGCCTCCGGGGGCCGAGGGCTTGAAATGTCCGTTCAGGTCCCCCACCTGGGTCCCCCCTTGGAGCCGTCTTGGGGACCTTTTGGATCGCCTTGGAAGCCTCTTTGGCCATCGTTGGGCCGTTTTGGGGCCAACTTGGGGGACTCTTGAGCTGCCGGCGATATTGGGGAACTTTGGGGCCGTCTTGGAGCATCGGGAAACCGAAAAGACAAGAACGCCAAAATCATGCAAAAGCCTCCGGACAAGCAATGATTTGTGCCTCTTGGGGCCTTCTTTGGGAGTGCTCTTGGAGGCCTCTTGTGGCGTCTTCGAGGCCTCTCAGGCCGTCTGGAGGCCATCGTGGGCGTCTTGGAGCGCTCTTTCGGCGATTCTGGCGGCCTCCCGGGGCTTTCTTGGCCCCTCCTGAGCGAGGGGACCGTCCCGGAGACCCACGCGAGAAACCCCTGGCCCAGTGCCGCCCGAGAGCGCCGGGGAAGTTGAGGGTCCGGGCCCTTGAGAAACTTACAAGCCTCTACCTCTCAGGGCTGCATGAGCCTTGGAGCATTTCACTCCGTGCCAGAGGCACGGTGGCGGATATAGGAAAAGGTGGCGGATGAGCAGGAGGATGAGCAGGAGAAAACGGAGGAGGAGGATCAAGGAGCGGGAACTGGAGTAGAAGGTGATCTCGTCAAACTCGGACCTCCTTCTCAGCGTGCTCTGCGGCGAGTTCTGCCAGGGCCCCTCTGCCGCCCCTGGATTGATGTGGCGCTCGATGCCAGAGTACAGCCTCCCATCTTCAAAGAAATCAGCAGCAGGAATCTGGTGAGCTTCCCGGCTGCTGGGCTGCCGGCTCCGATCCCGCGCCTGCCGCGCCTGCCTCCTCCCACTGGGTCGTCGGCGGGCCTGGCGTCCTTGTTCTCCTCCTATGTTGCCGCCTCTGCTGCCGGTCGCTGGAGCACCGCGAGGGCGTCCTTCCCCTCCTGGCACGCGACTGCTGCTGGCGGCAGCCCTGGCACAGACGGAACTTGACCGGGCCCGAGAATTGACGCCCGCGCCTTGCACAGCATCTCCTCGGCGCTGGTGAGGTCGTGCCGCAGGCTGTCCGTCGACTTCTGGATTTCCGCGAAGAAGCTCCGTGTCGAGGGCCTCCGTCTGGTGGCTGATCTCCTGCGAACGCTCCTCGAGCTTCTTGAGCTTCTCGCGGGGCCTCTCACACTTCCAGCGGGCCGTCTGAGCAGCTGGCGGGCGCGTCTCCGTAAGTAGCCTTCTTTTCCGTCGCCTCGATTGCTGTGATAGCCCCCGTCTCGATGCCCGTCTCCCGCCTGAAGGCCAGCACCTGCTCGAACGAAGGCGAGGAGCTGCCTCCCCCGCTGCCACTCGTCGATGGGCTCGACTTCTCCCAGGGCGGCCTCCCGCTGGCGGGGGGGGCTTCTTGCGCTTGAGCTGGGCAGGCTGCTGCTGCAACTGATTGATGACCCTTGTCCTGGCTGAAGAGGCTGACCTGCGCTCACTCGCCTGGGAGAGGTCAAGTTCGCCGCCGCCGCTTTGGCCCGTGCCACGACCCGAGCTGGGGAGCTGACCCCGCAGTCGTGGCACTTGATCCGACACGCCCAGTTGTCCAAGCAGCCGCAGCGACACCCCCAGTTGGGGGGTCATCGCCGGGCGTGTCCCTCCACGGGAGGAATATTGAAACATAGATTAAACAAATAGTCTGGGGACGATTTGTTTTGTATTTGTTTGGTTATGTTTGAGCATATTTCGAATATGCTTTACTTTTCCTCACGCGTCCGCCTGTAGGGGGACACGCCCGACCTAAGCCTGGGAAGACGTTGGGCGGCGGCGGGCCCATCCACGAAGAGCAGTGGGCGGGCTGCGCGTCGAGAAGCAGCAGCATGGCTCACAGGCACGAGCCGCTCCGAGGCGCGTGCCTGCCAGCGCAGCGCCTCAGAGGCCCCGGCCAGAGCGGCTCGGGAGGGAAGAGCGGGGGGCGGGGAGGAGCAGATGGGCAGGAGCCAAAAGGCGCCCGAGGTCGGCGCCATGCCGACATGCCAGTACCTTGTGTGCGTCGCCCCCTCCGGGACGAGGCGCGCGCCCAGAAAATTTGCAGTAGGAGCTCCGTGGCGGGCGCGTTCTGGCCAGACCGCTCGGGAGACGATGTGCTACACAATGTCTGTACGATGTACGATCCGCGCATTTTCTTTGGGCGGAGGGCAGAGGGTGAGCTCTGAAATGCCGTTTCGATGGGCCTTCGAGGTTTGAATCTGCAAGAGGTGAACCACAAGACGGATTGACTTTCGACACGCAAGAGCCCATATGGATTTCACCATAAGCATCAGTCGGGGCTGCCCCTCTACAGGAGGTATATTCGACAATAGTCATCAAGTAGTGTGGGGACGATGGTTTAGTTGCTTGTTTGCCATCTTCTGATATGTTTTGACAAATTTGCATTTTTCCACCAAAATCCGCCTGTAGGGGGACAGGCCCGACTCACACTGAGCCCTCCACCTTAAGTAAATGCCCAGATGATGTAGGAGGGGCGGAGTTAGAAGCTCGTTTGGGGGACCTTCCTGAGCCCGACTGACGGATCTCTTCGACCCTAGTTCGACCCCAGTTCGATTCCATCTCGACCCGAGTTCGACTCAAGTTCTACTCGGGTTCGACTCGGGTTCGACTCAGGGTCGGCTCGAATCGACAGACGTTCGACGCAGCTTCGACACACGTGTGGAGCGAGCGTCTCCAGGAAGGTCCCTAGATCGGAGGGAGGCGATGCGACACCAACACCACCAGGGGGCCCACCTCCGGCGAGGAGGTCCACGATGGCTTCCCGAGCGGGAGGCTGGGGATGTCTCGAGCGAGAAGGGGGGGCCACACCACCAGGGAGACCCCCCTTGCCTCCGTGCATCTCCCCGCCCTGGTGTTGCTGGCGTCGCCTTTCCTTGCTCCCACCCAGACTGCGCATCGAGGGCGGAGCGCGACCGCCGCTGCCCGCGGGCCGCCCGCCGCGGGCCGCCCAGGCTCCCGCCGGCCCCGGCGCGCGCTCGTGCCCGCCGCCCGCCCTGCGGGGCAGGCCGAGGCCCGCGGCCGCCCCCTCGACGGCGACGCCGACGCCGACGCCGACGGCGACGCTGACGGCGACGGCGACGACGACGACGACGACGACGACGACGATCCCTCGACGCCGACGCCGACGCCGACGGCGACGGCGATGACGGCGACGGCGGCCCCGGTGGCGCGGCCAGGGGCCACGCTCCCAGACATGCTCCCGCCTCCGTCGACGCTTCGTGGCGTCGCAGCCCGCCGCCGCTCCGTTGCCGCCCGCTGGGGGGTCCGCCGAGGTCTCGCCGCGTCGCCGCCCGTGGCTGCCTCGTGGTCGCCCTGTTCCCGCCCGCCCCCCCCTGAGCGACGCACACGAAACCGGGGTCGTCGGCGCCGGCATTGGCACGTAAGCTGCCCGCGTAAGCTCGCGCGTCAGCGACTTCGCTTCCAATGTGGCGTGCTGCGCTGGCGGCCCGCGCAAGCCACTGCGTGAGGGCGCCATGTCATCTCGCCTCCGACCCGTGTTTGATCGTCGCTCATTTGGTGGCAACATTACCCCACCAAGGCACCGCAACAGCAGCAGAGGCGACGAGGCGAGGGTGGGGGAGCAGGAGGTCGGCCGTGTAGAGGGCAGGGACGGGAGCACGGGCCTGTGCAGGAGGAGGAGGAGGAGGAGGAGGAGGAGGAGGAGGAGGAGGAGGAGGAGGAGGAGGAGGAGAGGAGGAGCCTCGGTGTGTGTGTGTGCGTGTGTGTGTGAGAGAGAGTGTGTGTGTGTGTGTGTTCCCCAAACTCGGCGGCGAGCGAGGGAGGGCAATGAGAAGGAGAGGGCCTCATCAGAAGGCGGTGGGCCTCCTCAGAAGCCCTTGCGCCTTCCGAGAAGTGCTCCGTGCCTTCGGGGAAGGCATCGAACAATGCTCAGAAGGCGAGGGGGACCTCCGAGCCCTCTGAGAAGGCCCGCCCCCTTCTCACTTCCCCCCACGTTCGCCGCCGAGAATCGGTGCTTGCACTTGGGGGATCTGAGCTCTCTTCACGCAACTGGGCCTGACTGCCGTCTCGGTTGGCTTGTCGCCTCCCGTCGCCTCCCGTCGCCGCCGTGTGTCGCCGCCGTTGCTGGGCCGGGGCATCGGTCGCCGCGCTTGTTGTCGCCGTCGCCGCCGCCCGTTGCCACTTCATTGCGCCTGGGTGGCGGTCGCCGCGCTAGTTGTCGCCGTCGCCGCCCGTGGCCGTCTCGTCGTCGCCCGTTGCCGCCCGTCGCCGCTGCCGCGTTGCCCCCCCACGATGTGCTGCAACCGCGTGCAATCGATTGCTCGCATCACATAGATTGCACCACATGGCTTGCGCCACATAGATGGCTTCGTCAATACAGATCCTTTCGATGAGCCCGAAAGGCTAGGCCTGGCGACAATGTCTTTTTTATGGAACAGGTGCTATTTTGAGTCATCGCAGCCAGGCGCATCATCAGCATTATCGTCTTGGCATTCTTAACCATCGCTGTCATCTTCATTATTGCCATCAGCGGGCCTGACAAGGCATGCCGCCGCTAACACATTCCTGTGGCCTGTTCGATACTGCGATGAGGCAGTCGGCAGGATCATCGTGTTTTGTCAAATATTGTGCCCGAAGTTGCGCCTAAAGTTGTCCCCGAAGATGCGCCCGAAGATGCGCCTGAAATTTGTGCCCGAAATTTCGTTCACCAAATGCGCTGCCCGAGCTGATGCCCGAATGTATGCCCGAAACGATGCCGGAAGCGAACTTGTGCGAAATTGTCCACGCGAAACGCATCTCGCAGAAGCCGCGCCATCGACAGAATGCGTTTTTTCGGCTCCCGATCCCCAAATGACCTCGATCGATTGGACGCAAGCCTGGACAGACTAGTCGGGCCCCAGGATCGTCTAGATTTCACCCAGTCACCGCAGTCCCCGAGACATACTCGACTCGCCCAAAATCGGCGCGCCTCATGATCGATGTGACGGGTACCGAGAACCGATCAAGCAGAACCTAAGGTTGCCGCCTTTGGCTTTCTCAGCCTCGCTCGCGGCGGCAGCACTCCGCGTCGTCTCTCCCTCTTCGGACCCGCGGACCTCACCACGTTCTCACAGAGCGACCCGCAAAGCAACCCATGACAAAACATCTTAGATTTCGGCGCACCTTTCGGACTCGATAGTGTCGGCATCACATATGCGCAGAGTGAGCTTCGCACATGCTGCGCCACATCGGACCACATATATTCCACCACGTCGGTTGCACCGTGTAGATTGCATCATATATCCTACACCCTGCCACACAGCTTACACCCACCACATTGAGTGCTTAACATCGATTGCGCCACATAGCTTACATCACACATACATTGCACTACGTAGCTTACTCCACATACATCTGCACACATCGACTGCACCACCTAATTCTCCTTTTAACAAGAGAATAGACTCTACCCCCCCCCCCCCGGACTTACCGCTTCCCCTTGGGATAGTATAATTTCAAATATATTCTGCACACTCGTCCATCCTAAATATGAAATGATACCATCCCAGCTAGGCCGGTTCCCCCCCCCTGAGGTTCCCTTGTAAAAACCATTATGCGGTGAAATCTTTTGTTCCAGCATAACACTTTTTCGCGAATCCTCTGCAAAAAATGAGACGAAGTGCACACGCGCGCGTCGCCGCGCGCGCATGCCGAAATCCTTCAAAAACCTTCGGTGCCGGAAGGATTTCGCAATCGAGTTTCCAAAACACATGCAAAAACACAGGGTTTCTGATTTGCTAAAAAAGCTCCCGCGCGAGCTCTTGCGAAATCTTCAGAAAACCATTGGTTTTTCAAGATTTCCAAAAAATGCTACCAAACGGGCTCCGCGCGCGCATGTCGAAATCTGTCGAACGCCCTTGCGCGTGTGCCGTCGCGAGAATCCTCTGCAAAAAAAGGGACGAAGTGCAGACGCGCGCGTCGTCGCGCGCGTATGCCGAAATCTTTCAAAACCCATAGGTTTCGGAAGGATTTCAAAATCGTGCCCAAGGAACCTTCCGTAGCCATTTTGGCTCAAGTTCGAAACGCTTCCCTGGCGCTTTGGCGCTTCGAGCTTGGTCGCTGCCGAAGGGACGGCTCAGGGCGACCTTCTTGCGAGGACAGGCCTCGCGGCACGCGAGCTTCAGCGCCCGTGCCTTCCATCCGCATTTTGCGGAGATCCCTCCCAGTCCACCGTGCTTTTCACCTCGCCCAGACTGCTGCCATGGGGAAGCGGCGATCTGAGCGGCGTGGCTCTGCACGATCTTCATCGCCTTCATCTGCTCCAAGAAGGAGCGCCAGCAGGACACCCGACGCCCGCCGCTCCGACGGCGAATCTCAGTCTCGGATCACCTCCCAGCTCGACTCGATCGCCTACAGCATTGCCAGCATGAACCAGGTGGACTCGCAGAACGCAACAGAGCTGGCTGAACTTCGAGGTGCCGTGCAGGGAAGTTTCAAACGATGCGGGGAGCTCGCTGATCAGATGAAGCTATTCGCTCGCGACGTACAGTCCAAGCACCAGATGCTCGACACTGAGTTGAAGAACGTCATCTCTGTACAGGACGCGAAGTTGAATGCCCTCCGCACCGAGCTCTTAGCTGGGAACACAGGCGACGCCGCCATGACCTGCCCCTCGCTTAGTGAGAAGTGCGAAAGCATAGAGCGACAACTGGCCGACCTGGCCGATCGTCAGCGCATCTCAGAGACTCGGCTGTGCGAGTCGCTCTCCACCCCGACCCCGACCCCCCCCCCCCCCTGTCCTCCAGTGCCTCGAGTGCCAGGGGCAGTTCGCGCCCGAGCCCGCCCGACCAGCCGCAGCAGGATGCATGCAAATTGGTCCTGCCTGGCTTTCCTAGGCCCCTCCTTGCCAAAGATCTTCGTGAGATTGGCAACGCGTGCATCAGGCAATTCTCCCCAGAAGCACAGCAGGCAAGGATTCTTGCCCGCGGCTTTGATCTTTCGAAGAAGGTGACTCTCCTCTTTGAGACGGCGCTAGGCAAGAGCACTTTCCTGGACAATTTCATCAGAGCAGGGGGCGCATGGAGCGTGCCTGACCCTGCCGAAGGCGCCCCGCCCCTTTCACTCCGCCTCCGTCGTGATCTCAACCCCATCTCGCGGCAGCTGTTCCTCTCCCTCGGGGGGGTCCGAGCTGCGCTCACTGCCCTCCTTGCACCGAAAGGAGTGGAGGTAGGCAGCACAGGACTCGGCGGCTCAGTTTTCTTTTTACGGCGGGCCCACGAGCCCACACAGGCAGTCCAAGTGATAGTTTCAGGAGAGTCGACTATTGAGATCCGCTGCGCCAGAGATGTTTTCCTTGAATTTGGAATCGTCGAACACATCGAGCGCGTCGAGGCTGCAGGGGCGGCGGCGCTCCGTAGGCCCTTTTAAGACGGAGGCAGACCGTTTTCCAACTCAGCCCCCCCTCTTGCGCCTCCTCCCTCTTCCCCCCCCCTCCCCCCTTTCCCTCTGTGCATGGAACACTGGCGCCTTCTTCACCACTGTGAGAACGAACTCCTGGCGTGCTCGGGACCGTTACCACCGTTACCTATCCGCTCTGCAACACCAACGACATCATTACCGTACAAGAAACACATGGACATATCGGGGATATTGCTGAGTTGGAACACAGCCTGTCTGGCTTCCGATTCGGATATTCTTTCTTTGAAGACTCCTCTCGGGAAGGAGGGGTTGTCACCGCTCTCAGTCCTGCTCTCGTGCATCTCTTCTCTTCCGGTTCTCATTCTACTTTGGTCACAGGGAGGGTGATCAAATCGACGTTGATTGGGGATTATGGGAATCTGATAGTATACAATCTTCATCTCCCGAATACTTCTGATGCATTCCCTCTGTTTGCTGGAGTGATCGGCGCGCTGCAACGCGACGTTCTGTTACACCTGGGGGAGGGCGCCGTCGTAGGCGCACGCATCCTGCTCATGGGGGACTGGAATTTTGTCTTAGACGAGGAGGGGGGGCTCAACGGGGACGGGAGTGGCATCTCTGCCGGCGACGCTGGGCGCTCACGGCACTTTCGCC